TAAATTGAGAATAACAGGCAGAGTTCAACTCGATAGCAATGAAAGCCACTTTTTTGTTCTTGCAACCTGTTTTTAAATTACTGATTTGATCCAAATTTTACAATTAAAAAAAAGTAATGAGATTCCACTAATAATTTTTGACCAGATAAATCAATATTTAATCAATATTTTATTTACTATGAGTTTATAGTATAAGCCTTAATGTATAAAAACAAAAAAATGTGTGGTGAAAAACTCAGACCATTGGTATTTGTTTAGCATGAGTAAATTTGCAACTTAACCCTCAACAAAAGGCCTATTTCTATTGTAACTTTCTCAAGACCGTCCATTTTATTTCTTCACGACTTATATTATTTGGGTTCAAATACCGGGATTTATAAAGTTAACGTGACATTTCTCTGCATTCCTATCTTTTTGAATTTATGGCAACGAATATCTAAAATCCTTACTAATTTCTCTTTTTGTCGAATTTCGACCTAAGCACCCTTTTCCAAAATGTTTGGGAAATACGTGACTTGACAATAGTTCCAGCCCATCCTGATAAATTACCCTCTTTCAAAAAGAAATTTTTGGGGATAGGACCAAGTGCAAATAAAATTCAGTCTGCATCCGAGAGTACTAGTAACAAGATATACCGTCTTACCGCATATCACAAAATATAGTTCGTTTGCAAGTCCAGTAGAAACATCTTGTTGCAAGACATACTGTCTTACCAGATACTGTGAACAATACTGTAACGAATTAAAGAATTAACTGTCTTAAACAAATTTATTTTTAACAATATTTCATTATCACAACTAATTTATATACAACACTTAGCAACTAACGCTTAATTTATCTTCACAGTTAGAATTCTTTCTTTAAACGCACGATTCACTTTCTAGATACAGACTCTCTCTAGTGGAAGTCATCTTGAATTCAGTCAGGTTGGAGCCTGGCTCCCTTACCCTTTGAACTGATACTCTCTCTCTGAGCGAGGACCCGACCTTTTATATTGGTAACGAACGTTCTAGATACCTCTAGCGGTTTCGGTACTCATCTATTCTTTTCGTGGCGATTCGTCGATCGCATTCCTTTCGCGGTGAGTAATATGTTTGGTGTCTGAGATAACGGTCAGGGCCGGCTTCAGATTCATTACAATACCAGTCTCGTCTAAGTTTTTCACCACACTTTTTCTTGTTTTTATACATTAAGGCTTATGCTATGAACTCATAGTAAATAAAATATTGATTAGATATTAGTTTATCTGGTAAAAATTATTGGTGAAATATAATGACCTTTTTTTAAATAGTAAAATTTGGAATAAATTAATAATTGAAAAACACAACCCTTGTGATACCATTGCATAAGTTACGGTAACGAGAAATATATAGAATACTAGTACTATGTTGCTGTATCGCTGCTGTTCCAATGTTTTGACAGAATCAGAATCAACGAACTTAGGCGAGCGCAGCGTTATAGAACAGTGCTTTCAAAAAAATTGTTCTGCAGCGCCATCTAGTGGCGAGTAACAGAAAAATTGATTGCCTAAAAACCTTGTCTATAAAAAATTACTTATACATTTCAAGTTTCATCACGATCGGTTGAGCGATGTAGAAGTTTATCACTTACCAACCAACAAACATCCATTTATATATATAGATTCTGACGGTGATTTTCAGCTTTTATATATGTGTTTTTTGTCAAATTTCTTTTCGAATGTGTATTCCACTTCGTTAATTGGTGTAATAAATCAATTTATTAAGGCACAGTATTTTTTCCAAGTGTGCTACGTACTCACTGGCAATAAATGTTATTGATAACATAACAATATGTTTTAAATTATCAAAAGTGAATATTGTTTTAAAAGAGAATGAGTATACTTTGTCTTTGACTTATTATTTTCCAAAAACTTAATTTGGTTATTAATGACATTTAATAAAAAGCACGGCCTCCTAAGATTCTTAATTTGAATTTCTTATATCTAATGGTAGTCGAGCAGTATAATATAATCAGTACAGACATTCAAATATCCTGGAGTGCTATATTCCAAGATATATTTTTCACGTTTTATTTTCAGAAAACACTACTTAGTCTACGTGAATTAAACTGTTAGTTAATGTAACTCACAATTTAAAGAAAAATATCGACTCTCGCCTTTCTATGATGAGAGATACATACACTGATGAGAGGTAACACCTCAAAACCGGTATGTAGGTGATCTATTCGAATAATTTCAGCATGGTCCTGCTGCTAGATGAACAGGAAAAATCTGCGAGACTAACCTTTATGAGGTATTCTGTCAGATATAATTCAATATCCAGCGTGGTATTAACCGGGGAAGTAGTTGTTTTCCGGCAGGCTTCTACCAGAACCTACTGTGTGGGTAGTTGTATGTATTTGTACGTATACGTATGTATCTCTCCTCGATACAATGTTCAGGCGCGAATTGAGAATTTATTTGAACAATATTTAAAAAAATATATATTTTGTTTTTGGAATAATTAATAAATTTTGACATTAGATAGTTGAATACATGCCACTATACATTTTTTATCAACAGAGTTTGTGTCGTTCAGAAGAAAAGCAGAAGTGACATTTAGCTGCAAAAAAATCATTTTTTTGAGCGTCATTTTATTGAAAATGCGAAACTTTAAAAGATACCTATAGTTTTATAAAATTATGAATTCTGAGCAAAAAACAATTGAACAATTTGCAATCAGGTTTTGCAACTTCCGCAATTGATGTATTGCTTTCCAATATGTTATAAAATTTCATTGCCATGTTGCCATGTAATAACCGACGGATGAAACACATTGACTGTACTTTTATGGAAATATATCAACAACTAAACTTTGCTTGATTTATGTTAAGCTTCCTAATTGAGAGAGATCGCAATTATTTATGAGTCCCATTTCACATATGAGTATTAAGTAGGTTCTAATGAAAACACTGCCCCAAGCCGGAACAAAAGCACTGTTAGTTGAATAGGTTCTCATTTTCCGGAAAATGCTCGCACTTTACTTCATTGTAGGTACCGATACAGTTGATTTGAACTGTTATTATCTAATCCCAACTGAACAAGTTTATGTTCTTCATTATAATAATTGAGGTAGGTCGGTAGCCGGGCGGTTTGACGTATGTGCTTTGTTCACTCCCTCAATCGACCGATGTGTGAGTCGGTAGTTCAAGCCGCAGGCTGAACGATACATTTTCACTTGCTATCGTCCAACCCGTGTTGAGAATCACACGTTAAAAGGTAACACCTCGTTAGTCCTTAGCTCGTACAAGTTTCGACTTCTGAGGGCTGTCGTTTGTAGGGGTGCTGGGTAACCATTTTTTTAGTGCTCCCTTAAAACTGTTTTATTCAGCGAAAGCTTATGAATATGAGGAGTCTGTTTGACGAAAAAAAACGTACCAAATTCATTTATAGTAGTATGTAGGATTATACGTATAAATAGAAAAGTCACCTTCATTGTCGAATTATGACGAATTTGTTTTCATTTTTTGGAGAGGATTCATTTAAAACATTTCAAAGTTTTAGAGATTCAAATATTTTAAAAATACTTACTCTTACAATTTTCGTAAATACAATTTCATTAAAGATTATACCACTATGTTTACCATTAATAAATCTGACCTACACATATAAATTCCTCATCTAAAAATAGACAGTTTATTTATTTTTGGGTTATTCTGCTCCTCAATTAAGATATGGGGAAAAACATTTTTGATATTTAGTGATTTCTCATCTTTCAAACATTCGTTATTTTTAGGAAATAATATTTTTATCATATGAAGGAAGTTGTTCAAAGAACTCTGAAATTAAACTAGTTATACATGGTATTTCGATATTGATAGAGTGAAAGGTTTTTCTGATCTTTTCTTTTAAAAAGGTTTTGCTTTTGATAATACTATTAATCTAACAATTTTTCGAGACTCCCAGTATGTAATGGGATTCATTATCATATATACCTACATAAAAAATTGATAATTGATTATATTTTCAGTTTCAAATGAGAGACCTAAGGAGTAGGAAAAATTGAAAAATCACGTTCAAAATAAATATTTAGGAAACTAATTGATAGTCTGTTCCGATGTGTCACTATTTTGATATAATAACAATTTCCCAAAACTCAATGTATTTCTTCATTATTCCCAAAATTTTTGGAATTACCGAGATTGTACTCTTTTAGATTCGAATTAATTTTGTAGAGGAAGTGCTGCGATCTTGCAGAACTTCTGTACGGTAAATCTATTCTTAATACAAGCATTGAAGGTGCATGAGTTCGATGAATACGTCCTAAGAATCGATCATTTAGTAGTCGACGAGAAGAGAAGGCGATGATAAAAACTGCAGGTGGATAGATTGTATGTTTAGACAAAGATTGGTATATTCAGGACCATGGGGATACAGTAAAAGATGAACCAACAAGAGAAACCGAGGATAAGAGCTTCACATAAGTCCAGCCAAATATGCATTCACCAATATAAAAAAATAGAGGGTCTAGGATGTCTACATCTTCGAGGTAAAGAGATATAACTGTCGGGGGAAGGTAAATATCTGGGAATGATACTATATTCCAGGCTGACCGAGAACCAACACTTAGGCGGCTTTTTTACGGGTCGGTACGACATCGGTACAGCTGCCATGCGGTAGACGCTATCTGTATGCTGATTGAATGTCGCACTCATATTTTCAAATGGCGGACTACACACGGGTCGACACAACACGACTGAGGCTTGATTTGCTTTCTGCATACTGCGTATCGGCACATTTTTAGGCGGTAAACGGTTTTTACTGTTCATGTTTACGTTGTTGGTGATGGCGAACGAATGAATGAGTATACTTTGTCTTTGACTTATTATTTTCCAAAAACTTAATTTGGTTATTAATGACATTTAATAAAAAGCACGGCCTCCTAAGATTCTTAATTTGAATTTCTTATATCTAATGGTAGTCGAGCAGTATAATATAATCAGTACAGACATTCAAATATCCTGGAGTGCTATAGCTAGCATTTGGCTTAATAAAGTAATTCGCTAAGTAATTACGAACAGTCGCACCAGATGATGCTGGATTTAAGTGAATTATCTCTTCTTGCAAATTGTAGTTTTGTAGTATATTTTGCGGAGGTTCGTATGTTGGTATCGAATACTGAATTCCCTCTTTACTTCGAATGAAATTGTGTAAAACACAAACACATTTTATTATATTTATAATAGTGGATAATTTTGTACTCCGAATAGGTGTTAGCAGTACCTGAAATTTTTGAGTCAACATGCCAAAACTACATTCGATTGTTTTTCTTGCCCTGCTCAGCCTGTAATTGAATATACGATTTTTATTGTTTAGTGTTTGTACTGGGTATGGTCTCATTAAGTATCGTTTTAGAGGAAACGCATTATCTCCCACAAAAAAATAGGGCACTTTTTCCTGGCTGTCATCATGAGGTAAAGAAGTATGAACTGGTAGATGTAGTCCACCTCTCTCTAACCACTGAGCTGAACTTGAGGCACGAAATATTCCCCCATCGTTATTTCTGCCTGCATACCCAGTTTCTATCATTGTGAATAATCCATCTGCATCACAAACCGCGAGTAGAACAATTGAATGGTACTGTTCGTAGTTGTAATTAGTTGATCCAGTGTTAGGAAGTTTTTGAATTCGTATGTGCTTGCCGTCAATTGCTCCTAGGCAGTTTGGTAAGTTCCATAATTCGTAAAAACGATTCGCTATTTCTTTCCACTATTCATTGGAGGGTATTTTCATATATGAATGATGAAGTATATTCCAAATAACTGATGTTGTTTCATTTACTATATTAGATATAGTACTAAGTCCTCTTGCAAAATATAGGGACAAAGAAGAATAGCTGCATCCTGTGGCAAGATAACTGAAATAATAAAAAACAATGAGATATTATCATATATATTTTTTTTTCTACAAAAATATGAATATGACATTTTTTGTTACAGTTCAAGAATGTAAAGAAAAATGGAGAAATATAAGATCTTCGTTTCTTCGAAGTATGAAAGCTCCTGCAAGTGGATCCAAATCAAAAAAACCCTATTATCTTAAAGATTACCTACAGTTTATATTGCCCTATGTAAAACCAGTGAATAACGTTGAAAACACTGGGAATGTTCCAGAACCGCCTCCAGAGATTTCTAATGAAGATAATAGTTCGGCAAATGTAGCAAGTGATTCAGTTTTAAATAATAATCATAATGAAAATTCGCAAACTGCGTCCTATAATTCAGAAGATGAAACAAATCAGTCTGAACCTGTAATGACTCAGCAACAAAAACCAGTACACCAGTTACCAGTGACGCCAGCATCTACTGCTTTCCAAACCTGTCGTTATCGAAAACGTCAGGTGACAGAAGGCGAGAAAACATTTGTGGATTATTTGAAAGCTAAAACCAGAAAGGTTCAAGATGGGGCAAATTCCGACAGTAAACCAAAAACCAGTCATATGCACCACTTTCTACTCAGCTTGTTACCCGATTTAGAAAGTATGACAGAGGAACAGCAAAGAAATATAAAACTGAGAATTATGATCCTCATTGATGCAGTAAAGTCCAATCATCTTCAATCTCATCAGTATACACATGTTCCATCACAAAGGTCATCCACGATTCAGTCAGTACTAACTCTTTTAGTTTCTCCTGATCCATCAAGTCAGTTTTCCGACACTCAGTACACTATACTGCCGACATCACCAGAGACAGAAGCAGATGTAGCACAAACTGTTTATTCATATTTCAAGACTTTTAATACAAATAATGACTAATGTTTTCTTTTCTCTATGTGCACTTACCGTAACGTTATTAAAATCCTTTCTCCAGCGCTTACACACTCTCTCATATTCGTGTTTTGTCGGGTAATAGTTGGACCAAGAAGTTGCTCAAGTTCTTGAAATGAAGTTTTTGCCATTCTGTACATTGACCGAAATTTTGCATCATTCATACTTAATTCTTGAGCGGCGACAAATAGCCTACAGTTCCTAGTCCGTTCAATGTATGGGTGTACCCAATATTTTTTTCTTTTTTGCTTTTGTAACCTTTTAAAATACACATATAAAACAATATCCTCTTCCTCACTAGACGACGACATGCTTTACAACTGACAAATGTATGCAGCTTCATGAGAAAGGTAAATGCGGTAGAGTATCGTTACGATATTTGCTGCGTCGTTACCAGACCGCTGCTGTACCGACCCGTGAGAAGAGACCCTTAGACGGTATAAAAAGAAAGAAAAATGTATGATTGATGCTGGACGACGTACTTTTGCAAAGATATGGGGGGTGAAACCAAACATGATGTGTCCAATGGCTATACTCAATGGTTGTTGAACCATGAAAACCAGCTACTGTCATCTTCAACCTGAGCAGGATGTGAAGAGTCGCAGAAAAGAACGCAAAACAAGTCACCAAATGCGAGTCTATGCCGAGAAACCGAGCGAGACGGTCGATTAGTGCGTGCTCATGGAACTTGGGACCTTTTTTACATTGTCCGCAAATTGACTTTTTGTGTTTTTCGCCACCGATAGCACGGTCCAGTGCCGTGCACTTTTACATATGATCTGACCCAATGGGTATACTCCATCAGGTAAATCAAATTTTTCTTGTTATTTTTGACTAAGGGAATCGCCAACCTGCGGCAATAGAAACCCCCGACTAACGAATTAACCAAACCATGACTTATTCTACAGCAGTGAGTCAACAACAATTTTTAGAAAATACCCAAGCGATAAATTTTCCTTCAGTTGATGGAATAAAATCCAAAAATATCTCTTTGCATTAGGAAATCTCGTGAATCACAAACAAATTCTTTTTGCATCAAGGATCTCCAACAACCGAATCTGCATTCACCTCTCTAATACAGAACACGTTCATGAATGAACACGATACAATCACTATGGGCCATAAAATTTTACGAAAAAGAGGTTAATTTTGTCCAACGTCAGCCCAACCATTCCCCACTCTCTTCTAAAACGGACTCTCCATCAAATAGGCCTGAAGATATCACCAATAACATTCCTGCGAGTCAACATGTCAAATTCCGATTTTGCACACATACTGAGTTTCAGAAGGCAAGTCTATATAATTCCACCAGAAGATGTCAACATTCCAGAATAAATTTTAGTGATTCACGATATTAAATCGTACAAAGTATATCTGTCACTTAACAACCTTACATGTTTCAAGTGCCGCCAACCCGGCCATATATCTTTCCAATGTACTGCTGAACTTCATGAACTATTACCTGAGCTGGACACTCAACCTTCTCCAGAAACAACCAAAACTTCAAACGAACCATCGCTCCCATCGCCTGATCATAATGAATCTCCTTCTCCAGAAACACCGTCGGAACGAAATGAAACAACTCCACAACCTAGCGAACCATCTGTTTCTACAAACTCCAACAGCTAAAACAAAAGAACGATTACGGAAACACTGACACCAACTGATGAAAAGGATACTTGACCTATTTAGGAAGCCATCATCGAGTATCTCCAAAAAGATACGAGCTGATAGCAAGGAAACGAAATCCGTTGAAAAATGTATAAAACCAGCTTAAAACTTCATCGACTCAGGAAATTTTGTGATCAATTCTCATTCTCAAAGATTCATTTGGGAATGGTTATGGATCCAATGACCCTCTAAGCGTAGCTAAACAGCACACTAACGATGTAAGGCTTATTGGGCATGATAGGCAGTATATATCCGTGTTTAAACGAAAAGTATATTAAAACTAGATGCACGAAGCTCAAAAAACATTAATGAAACAATTACTGGCCGAAGAGGTATCCTTTACTAATACAGAAAGCGACTCTTCTTCACAGAAAATCCGATAAATCTTTTCTTCAACCCTGATTTTGCAACAAAACGACAAAAGTTCAGCATCTGTTCGGAATTTTTTGGGAGCAAAGCAACTTTGGAAGTGTCATAGAGTTCCTAGCGGAAATAGGCATTCTACGTAGGATATAGTATGTATTTTTCAATGTCACACAGTTTCTAGCGTCAATGTTGTGAATAGAATATATTTCATGAAATGTTAATGTTTTGTTGTTAATAACCCAAAGGGTTGATGCAACTTTTTTTTTCAAATAAAAAAGTTACCTATCGCAGATATCGATTCCGAAAATGGCATTTACTGGCTACCACGATGATCAAAGCCAGAATTCAAGTTTATTTCACCTGAACATCCAGTGCCTCGCAAAAAACGTAAACATGCTTGAGCTATTACTACTTGAGAAACACCCACTTTTTGTACCTTTAACGGAATTGGCTTAGTAAAGACAGAATAAAATTTGATAGGCCTGCAAGGTTATGGAGCAATTTCCTATTTTTGCAGGAACAACAATTAATGATAACTTATCACCCGAACACGATTGTGGATACTAACAATCGCAACGTCGCGAAGTAACTTGGCTTGGAAACTTTTAATGTTTATTTCTTGTTAATAATTTTTCATTTTCAGCTCGTGTTAATAGTTCAATTTTTTGATTGTTGCTTGTATTTTACTTCATTGTAATGTCAGTTTTTTTGCTCAATATAATTGTTATTTTTCAGCTAATCTTTTTGATTTTTTTATAGATTCTTTCAGGGATTTCAAATCAATTTATATTATATTAGACATTGGAAGTCCGAACTAATGAAATGCACCACGAAACTTTGTCAACCACATTCAAACAAGAGTCAAGTTACCTATAACATCTGCAGAAAAACTGGTTTAAACTCTAAAGTAAGTGCGGATATATTAATAAAATTAAGAAAGAAACCATCACATTTATTTCCCTAAGTTTGAACGAATAATAAAATTAAGAGATACATTCATTTCAAATAACATCAACCAAACATTAACATTCTAACTTTTTGAGTTACATTATGAAACATGGATAGATTATAAGTAGTCTTCATCTTCACCAAGGCTTCAGATACTATATAAGTGGCGTTAGAAGTTAGAATTGTCTGAAATGTTCCACGAGGATGATGCTGAGAAAAAGTATAGATTTTCACTATAAACTATATTGCTGAATCCTGAAGTATTTGGAATTGGCGGCGTTTGGTTCAGTAGTTCCATTTCAGTTACTATTAAAAAAATGTTCGCTTTTGTACGAGTGGCCGCCACGGATTTGAAAAATAAGTCACGCTTGAATATCACTTCCTTCAAGAGGAAGATCAAACTGAGTGAAAATGATCACTTGGTGATCGAAACACGTGTCGAGGTGTTAAAATAACGGTTTGGTGTTGGGAAAAAACTCCAGTTCCAAACAGTGCATCACACGTCACGCTTGTCATCGATTTCTTGAGGTGGCTTCACCTCCCTGTCTCTTTTTTTTCTTTTATTAATTGATCAATACAAGAATGTTCTTTTGTTTTTTTTTTTGATTTTGGGATTCAAAATAGGGCAACATCAGGCCCTCGACTTTCAAGTTCATGTGGATTTTCATAGGTTTGTTGGTTTGAAGCGCTTTCATCAATCACTTCTAGATCAGAAAAATTGCCTTCCGCAGTCAAAATTGGCTGTAGATTTTTGGTGCAGGTGAAAAGTTCGTAAAACTCTTCGTTCATCTTCCACTGCATCCAAAAATTGTAAACGGTTCCAGTAAATTGCCCTATTTTTTAGCGGCACCTTCTGCGGATCCTTTTTCTTTTTTCCTCTGTTATGGTCTCTGACACTTTTTCGCCATGTCCGAAAAAAAAATATAATTATATAAAATGTTATGTTTGAATGATGGTTCAAACTCCATATAAACACCACACTTAAAATACCTTGTTATTGATTTTGTTTTAGGTTTTTGGCCACGGGTTACCGAATATCGCCGTCTATTATAAGGAGACCTATCGTTTGCCCCCTCTTAACCAGATAGACTGCAAACAGAAAGCTAAGGAGTTTTGGAGGCGTTGGGGTTTCTCTATTGATGGAAAGCATGTAATGATTGTGGCTCAGTGGCTCCGTCCTCATTAGGAAGTCACTAATAACAATTATCACATCAAACGAAACAAACGTTCTTGGACAAAACCTGACTATATTGCGCAGCGTGAAATCGAATAGACTCCTCTCGAAGCAGTCGGGCATTACGACATTACGTGTTGCGCTCAAACATTAAACCCCTATGGAGGAGTAGACGTGCTGAGCGTAACACGTCGCACGCGACGCAAAAAATGAGTCGCTAGGAAAACAGGGCTTTACATTCATCAAGAAACATTGTCTTCTATATACTACAAAATCAAAAAAAAGCGAAACGTGTTATTGTACACGTCAGCCCTGATATAAACGATCTACTCATTTTTCTAGTGAAATTTACAGTAAATTTACTCAACATATACCCTTGCTGTCTGTCTCGGTATTTATTCCGGTATTCAGTGCCGGTTGTATTTTTGGAATAGTTATATTGTTAGCGAATTGTTTTTAATTTCTTGGCAATTGGCAAAGAAATGTGACTTCTAATGACAAAATAGAATTTATCAGAGGTAATTGGCACTGGTTGTAGCATCATCATACAATCCGATATGCGATAAAAATAAAGGTACTTACATAATTTCATTTCAAAAACCAGAAACCGTAATCTGATTAAATAATTATGAACGAATATTCAATAATGTTTGGTTTCAGTAATTATTTAGGAAGAAAAGAAATCATAACTTAATAAATAAAATATCCCTTCGAAAATGTATGAAAAAGAAGATTCCTAATTTAGGATAACATTTCTTCCTGGAATGTGGGAGTTTCAAAAGTCTTGAAATGAGGCACAAATGCTACGACCAATTGTGGAAAAAATTCTGAGGATACTAATATTTTTCATCATTATTTCATATTACTTTTGCTTCTTTTTTCACAGTTCAACAAACGCAGTAATTTTTCCACCAAATTAAATGTAAATGCAAATGTAAATCCCATGTAAATAGAAACCAAGAGAACAAGCACTCAAATCGCTGAGTGACGACTGAAGTTTGGTAAAGTTATGGTAAGATAAATCAAAGAGTAGACGTGATTCGGTATTCGTAGAGTTTTTATTACTTTCAAAAGGCATTAACGTACAGTTTTTTTAAATGAATGGTTCAGTTTGTGACACGTTATAGGTAAGTTAATAAAATATTGGTATGAAAAGTTACATAATAGTATGGACCGTACTCGCCACTTTCTATGAAGTTGGCAAGCGAGTAATTATTCATGTTATTCCTGTCAATTTAGACATTCGAAGCTACCTAAATTTTCACCAAGCTGAAAGTCAGTAGGATTATTTAAAATATAATTAAAAATAAAATTTTAAAGTTCCCCAAAAATAAGTTTTTCGCGATTTTCAGCAAAACGGTAAGTTTTATCATAAAAATACTTCAGACAAAAATTGTAGATCATAAAATTATCTACAAAAAATGTATCAATACAATGATGCAAAAAGACCAGTTAGGTCTTTTTGCGTCATTAGATCTCAATGATTTTTCGAAATGAGGAGAGAAAAACCATATCTGAGAAATGAACGTTGGATCTCTTCGAAGAACATACCGATAGTATTAGTTGGTTGCCATTGCAAACTGTGTTTCTACATGACGTTCAAGATATGAATATGTGGAGTATTCTTTCAAAATTTTTATAAAATTCTACTGGAAATTTCTTCAGTTGTATCAGTAAAAAACTGAATTTGTTGATTCAGCAAATACTTCATGAAAGGCATTTTGTATCCTCTCCATATCTCTATTTTTAGTGCCCATATCGGTTCGTAAAGTCCTGGGACATCCTCCGTTGGACTTCACTGCTTCTAAAAAATATCCTCCAATTACCTGGGAAAATTTGAATTCATGTGAAAATATTTGAATCAGAGAAAAATCAACTTGTAGTATTCAATTCTATTGTTTTGACCATGACGAATGTCACGATGGTATGATCTTCAAAATTACAAATTTGTTCAAGTGTGAAGATGAGAAATAATAAAGTGTGTGGTAAAATTCAATGAAATATCGTTGACATGAGCATTTTCAAAAATGTACATTCAACTGAAATATTTGTTCTTGTTTCAACATCAGTTCGAAATGATTATTGTTGAAATTAGGAATTGATTTAGAGTTAATGATTTTTTTTAACCTTCGGGTCGCTTGAGGTTGATCCCACTTTCAACCATATGATTCGCCTCGAAAAACCATCTATACAGCCGTTAATACAGATACCGTAGGGCTTTATTTTTTATCATCTTGTTACGTTTTTCTCCGTGGGTTGATCAATAATTGACTACCCTGAGTAATCAAACTTAATTTTATTTCACTTTAGTTACAACGAACACTTCAACTGAAACTTCAACTATTATTTGAATATGTATCGCCTTACTAGATCACTTCGCGTACCGCACTGTAACGGTCACTTCACTGTGTATATGCCCGCCGCTAGCGATTAAATATCGTAATCGAACATCGTAGAATTTTTCTCGAAGTTCATGAATAATTACTCGCTGCTTCTCGAGCGACAGGGAACATTGGGCATTTCTGTGCTCTTAGCTACGTCACGTTTGGTTTATCTTTGCCAGCGGCGGCCGGAGTTACTTTCTTTCGGGCATGATCTACAACAATATGAATCGACATATAGATAATTTGGACCGTTAATGTCGTATTGCCTGTGACATAACCGATTTCATTTGCACACTCCAACTGAATCCAGTAAACTAAGGAGTTCTTGCTATGTTGCAATAAAATTGTTCATTGGGCAACGTAAATACATCCATTTGTAACCATGAAGTTGACTAGATGTTTTTAATTCGTCTTCTATGAATACCACTAAATCTTCTATTCTTAAAAAATGTTTAGGTCTGTAAAGTTCCATTTCAAATAACCTTCTCTTCAAGGTCCGAAGAGAAATCTGTTTTTTTTTGCAAAACATTTAGAAATTTCTTTATGTTGGAATCCTAATGAAAAGTACGAAGCAACAAGATCATAAAAGTCATCATCATTAGCCTGAAAAAACATTGCTAGAGCAACTCATATGTGACTCATATGTATATGAACTATGGACGCTAACACTGTTCTTCATTAAGTTCTTTGCATTATACAGTACCTACGGATACATATATGTGGAACAAACTTCAAAGAGTAATCGAGCATTTCAACAATGCAAAAAAAATGGAACACATGACCAAAAAATAGTGTGTAAAATGAGATTTATGAGAAAAATCAAGTATCTCAACAGGTTTACTATGTTCATTATCAAAAAACTTGTTTCTTTCGAGGAATCGTTCTATTCAGTAAGTAATACTTTTTTGCTACCCGAGCTTCCCAAATAAAAATATGGGCATTGTATGTGTATAAGTAAAACAGTTGTGAACATACCGTGCAATTTGATATTTTTCAGATATTTGAAACTTAGAAACATAAAATATATAATAATCAGAAAGGTAAAGTAAATCTTGTTTTGACGTGAAAACTTGATTACTAACAAATATTTTGTTATAATTTTTGTAAATCGAGTTAAATTAGGAGTTTTCTTATATTCCACCAGTTACATTTTTAACTAACTATACTCGTAACAGAAATGATTCAATATATTTCTTTTCGAGATAAATGGATATTAATAAAAGGAATAAAGAATTGAATTATTTACCTGTTGTGTTATTGATACTCATATTTTCATTGAAATTTCAGTCACACAACAATTTCACAAAGCTCCTGTTAACAACACCTTGGAGTAAATTATAATGCACTAAAGAAACTATATTTCTACTTTTGAGTCAAAATTATATGACATTCAAGTCGAAATTACGAGATAAAAGTCGAAATAATTTCTAGATAAAAGTAGACATTTCGAGATGAAAGTTGAAATTCCGACCTTTGAGTCAAAATTATAGTGGATCATATAAACAAATAGGTAACATTTTGCCTTTCTACGCTTCTGTAAGTTCTTTTGAAGATCCAATATTTTAATAATTCGAATAAGTTTCCAGGACCCATAAAAATATATCCTACCTCATAGTGGCATTCAAAAGAGATAAGCTTAATGAATATTTAGATATAAGATTATTAAATGACCATGATCGGTTTGGAAGTGTGAATATATCTTTCAATAGAATAATTGCCGTAGTATATCGATTTTAATAATTTTGTTACTCTCCTACTGCACGAAATTTGACAACTATGGCCATCTATGAGACAGTAGAAGAAATAAGAATAGATGGCCTCGTATTAGATATTTTAGAAAAAGGGGGTATTTAAAAGTATGTACAAAAAGTTGGGTAGAATACCATTAACAAATCATACTGGATGTAACATAATGTCTAAATCTGTTTTTCCGTTAACTAGCTGTCGCACCTCTACGAACGACAACCCTCAGAAGTCGAAACTTGTGCGAGCTAAGGATTAACGTGGTCTTACTTTTTATCGTGTGATTCCTAACAATATTAAGTAACATTTAACAAAGGATGGTTAACACCGATCAACATTCGCGAATGCAAAGTTTTGAAAGCATCAATTAAAAAGATATCACGAAATTGATTTTAAAAAATTCTTTTTGTTTATCTTACCACTTAATGGCTTTACTATAAAGATGAACATTGCAAACACAAATGAAACTAATCTTGTCAATTATTTTTTATTTTAAATTTTTTTCAACTACAAAATATATTCATCTACTCACATGTGAACTCAGATGACTTCAGGTTGATTTATATTACTTTCTTGTGGAGGGGTTATATGTTCTGGTAGTTCTTGCAATTCGACCTAAAAAAGAAATTTTAAATAACTCATTGAAATGATTTGAAAAACAATTAAAAACCTTCGTTGCTTTGAGAGCTACTCCTTCGGGTAAATTCCTCTCAATGTACTCTAATAATGTGTGAGCGGTTGATCCAGTTAAATGTTTATACTGAACAAAAGAATAGTATGTTCTGATTTCATATTGTACTCTGTGTTTTTTATAAATATGAACTGATTTCAAAACCGTGTATCTTTCGTGTGATGGTTTCCTCAAAGTCCATCTGAAAATAAACAAAGTTGAATTATAATTTTTGTGACTCTACTAATTAGAAACGGAGATTCAAATGCTGCCTAATAATTAATGAATATCCAGAATTTTAGAATATATTGAAAGTTTTAAAAATATTTTCATTTTGAATAGAGACAGACCAAGAATTGGATCCTTTTCCAATATGTATATATTTCATAAGATATTTTTGGTGCAACTATGAACAAAGTTATTAATCTCTACTTATATACAGATTAAATAATGATAATGCCACTTTCAATGTTTTGAAAGGACATGAGGGTTTGAAGATCTGAAAACATTAAGTTTTTCATTGCAGAAATTTTGTGAAACAATACTAAAAATCTGAAACTTTTTAGTCACAAGGTGCCACAAATGTTCTCTCATTGGTACTGTAAAAGTCATTTTGTAGGTACCCACGACTTTGTGTCAATATCTAAATGGTTTCCTGTAGATACGGCAAACTTGGAAAAACTTCTCAGAACGGCTGGATCATTTCCTCGAAGTTCAACTTCAACAATCTTGTATAATTTGTCCAGTTCCTCTTTCCCGTTGGTATTTTCTGTGGCAGGAAGGGAGGAAAACGATCTAGAAATAACCCTATTCGGATACCTCAAAAAGTGTTTTAATGCATTCTGAAAACAGACTATAAGCTTATCAAATTTCATTAATTGGTATACATATATATCACCATTTTTTAATTATATTTCTAACTATTTTAAATCAAATTGATATTAAAGGTTTTATAAAAACATTGTGTTACCCCTTTACAAGTTATATTCTGACAGCTGTCACCTGTCATTAGGTGGTTTTCTGGTTTTCACCAAGATACAACATTTGAACACAGTATGGAAACTTTTTGTATGAAGCTTCAGTCAGTTGAATAATTTACTATATATTTGAACCGTAAAAACTTCTACAAAACCATTTTTCAAAAAGCAGGCTTCAAAAATTGGTGTTCAAAATGACACGAGACCTCAAATTTGAAAATATCCCTATTACTCGGGTGTGTATTGTTGAAACCAATCTTATTCCAGATCTGTCATGCTTTCTATTCTGTCATTCTTATTATCTCCTCTGCTCGATCAACATACATCGAGCGAGATAGCAAATAACTTTTGATGTGAATGAAATAGAATTAGTGACAATTAAACACACCTGTTTGATCTAGCAAAGGTAGCGAATAATTTCTGGCGGGACGACTGAATCCGGAATATGAAAAAATCAAGAAAATGTATCTCCCACTTGAACGAATCACGGAACTCAAGTTCTGTGAAACATTTCAGTAAGTGTAAAATTTGAAATTCTTTCGGATACATAAGATGCTGTTACTAGATTGTAATATAGATTACTAGATTGGGATCTAGTAACAACATCTACCTACATCGCATTACGTCACAGTATGCTACAGTACAAATTACTACCGATGAGAGCGCTGGTGTAATCAACAAATTGCGACAACAAACGGTAAACATGATAAGTACATTCTATATAATGTTCTTATGATTGTTTTGAGACCGTTTACATACTCTCATCACCACACACAAATACTCTCATTATCACGCCCATCCAAAAATCATATCAAATACAACTATTGGCTTGTTTAAACATCTCAGGAGGTTGCGTTAATGGCCATGTTACGATTGCGCATGACCGGTGTAAACCTCGAAGTAGGAATGGGTCAAACGCATATGCGTATTGCATTTGTAGCGTCCAGTATATATACACGGACGGCTCAAAAACCAAAGAAGGCTCAGGATGTGGGGTGCACTCCAGATCACTAAGCCTAAGGATTAGGTGGGAAATGAAAAAAAAAACCAGTGTGGTTCAAACAGAACTGGCTGGTATCTCAATCGCCACAAAAGAAATAACCGGGAAAGGAATTTCTGGCAAAAACTTGACAATCTGCACTGATAGCAGACAAGCCCTATTAGCCTTGAACAGACAACATGTTACCTCAGGGCTAGTACTAAAGTGCCACCAAGATTTAGCCAAAGCTTCGGTAGATAATAACATTATCCTGAGGTGGATTAAAGGGCACGACAGGAGTAAAGGTAATCGCATTGTCAACTCTTTAGCCAAGGAAGCGGCTGGACTAAGAATTTTAGGACCCAGTGGCACCTACGGCCTGACGACTTCGACAATTACGAAACTAGCCAAACGTTACACCCATGCTCAATCCCTAAAGAGATGGGATGAAATTAAAGGATGCAATCTTGCCAGGATCACCCTGGGAAGCTGGCGCCGAAGAAATATCTGGCGATGACCAGGAAAAATCCACGCTTAACAGTAGGATTTCTGACTGGTCACTGTCAACTAAGAAAACACCTCCATAATATGGGGCTAGTGGGCACACCTCTTTGCAGGTGTCCTATGCGAGTGTCCGGAGTTATCGTCAATAAGAGAGTATGTGTTTGGTGAGTCTTGGCCTACACCTGCCGATATAAAGGAGATGTCTCCTAGTGATCTGTCCAGCTTCCTGGAAAGGAGAGGACGGACGATGACCTACGAGGACTTCTCGGAAGGATGTACAATGGGTCACGTGTGGCCTAAGTGCTGTGGGCTTACACTCACCCTCCCTACTCTACAGATACTATTGGAATTATAAAATCCGTTAGAAATTTTATCAAGTCCTTGGCAAAACGAACCAAGTGCCTTAAAGAGATAAAAAAACTTCCCCGAAACATAATGGAAAAACCTTACGGGGCAATGTGCGTACAAACTATTAAAGATCTTGGCGACACTCCGTTTCCACATGTACCCCTGAAAGGACTTTCTCTTCTCTGAAACGCCTAAACGGTTTGGCGTTAATATCAATCCACCGTAGAATTAACATCGACACCGAGGAGATAATTGATTTGTTTGCTGCAAAGAAAGCTAGAAAAAAAAATTGATTTTGTAAAAAGATGTTAATATTTCTGTAATGGTTTTCTAATAAATATATATGATCATGTAACACCATTTTCTTTCTTTCATTATTTTTATATTTCATGTTTTTCTATTGTTCCACCAAACCAAACCCCCCCCCCGAAATTGTTTTCTGGCTACGGCCTTGAAGGGTACCTAAGCTTGATAACATGATAACTCCAACAGTGGTAAAAATCACAACTGGTGATTTTATCTTTGATGTTGTGTCCTTTCTTCACTGATTTAATTTTTTTTCAGTAGTTCTTTTCCATTTTTGTTACTTACTGTATCTATGAAAAGACCCATCTGATAAAATTACACATATGAAGAAAAGATAATCTGATAATGAATATTTTTCAGAACTAAACAAGATGGCACCAATGCGATTGGATTTTTATGGAGGAAAGTACATTTATTTGAGACCCTTATTCTCAGTTAAGTGGTTCATCTTTTCATTTTCGAATAATTGAGGAATTTGCAAGGTGAAAATATTCAGAATATTTTTCAAAATTACCTGTGTTATGTACACTGTTAATTTGTTTTTTTAATATTCATTTTTTTTCATACTTTTCAGTAATTGGAAATTCCAAAAGTTGTTTTCTCAATCTTCAAAATAAACTATGTTTGTCACTTATTTTCGTTTTCATATTGACCTTATTGAAAGAAAACTAGAAGCAGGTGTCATTAAAGGTAATCTCACAAAAAATTCAATTTTTTCATTTGCTCATAACATTTATTGAGGGGTCGGCATACCAGACAACTGTCTGCTTAGTTCTGTGTCAAAGAGTCAGTAGTAACGTTCACAATCGATTAAGTTCGCTAAGTAAATCAAAAAGTTGGGCAGGACTAAAGATTTCCTACACACATGAGTATTTCATTAAATTACATGCAGTCTTACAAAAACACAATCAAAGAGTTACCACTCGAAAGTGGAATAAGTGCAAAAGGCCCAACCAAGTCCAATAAAAATGATCTTCAGTGTCCTTGCGAGTAGTTCCACGGATTGGTCTGTTGTTGGTTCCACAATGGAGAAGTATTGAAAGGGCTGTAACTGTCTCTCGTTGGTTGCGGGGTCTACAAAATAAAAACGTATTTTTGTAACTTTACACTCGGTAAGTCAAGTCAGTGATAAGCAATAAGTTGACAATATATGAGATCGTTTGGCAAAATTTTGCCACTTTAGTCAATGCACTTCTGTATCTGTATAGTAGGGAGGGTGAATGTAGGCACTTAGGCAACATGTTACCCATTGTACATCTTCCCGAGGAGTTATCCTCCTAGGTTATCGTCCATCCTGTCCTTTCCAGGAAGGTGGACAGGTCACTGGGAGATATCTCCTTTATATCGGCAGGTGTAGGGCAAGACTCGCCGAATACACACTCTCTTATTGACGATAACTCCGGACACTCGTATAGGACATGCCTGACAGTTTCATCTTCCTGTTCATACATCCTGCATAGAGGTGTGTCCACTAGCACCATATTATGAAGGTGTTTCCTTAGTTGACAGTGGTCAGTCAGAAATCCTACTGTTAAGCGTAGATTTTTCCTGGTCATCGCCAGATATTACTTCGGCGCCAGCTTCCCAGGGTGATCCTGGCAAGATTGCATCCTTTGATTTCATCCCATCTCTTTAGGAATTGAGCATGGGTGTAACGTTTGGCTAGTTCCGTAATTGTCGAAGTCATCAGGCCGTAGGTGCCACTGGGTCCTAAAATTCATAGTCTAGCTAAAGAGTCGGCAATGCGATGATTACCTTTACTCCTGTTGTGTCCTTTAATCCACCTCAGGATAATGTTATTATCTACCGACACTTTGGCTAAATCTTGGTGGCACTCTAGTACTAGCCTTGTGTCTGTTCAAGGCTAATAGGGCTTAACTGTTATCAGTGCAGATTATTATGTTTTTGCCAGAAATTCCTTTCCTGATTACTTCTTTCGTGGCGACTGAGATATCAGCCAGTTCTGTTTGACCGTGCTGGTATTTTTTCCCGTTCCCCACTTAATCCTTAGGCTTAGTGATCTGGAGTACACTCCACATCCTGAGCCTTTTTTTATTTTTGAGCCGTCTGTATTTATGCGTATTGCATTTGTAGCATCTTACTCTGAGTCAATGCCCATGTTGAGGAATGAAAAAATATTCTTCCGAAAATGGTTGCAAAACTTGTTCAAGGTATGTTGATAAGAACTGAGTATTTAATCAGGGCAATCCTAACTGTAATTTGTCCTATATTGTTTTATTTTCCTTATGATTTTGGTATTTCATGATGAAATAGTGAAAGAACTGAATACCAATATAATACTGTAGTAGGAGTCCCACGTAAAAGGTGAGACCTCGTTAATCCTCAACTCGCACAAGTTTTGACTTTTGAGGGTTGTCATTCGCTAGTTATTGGAAAAACATATTCTGAACAGAAACATAATAAATCAGAAGTATTTCTTTCGAATCAATTGAGATACAAATTTGATTCAAAAGTTAAACCAAATATATTCAAAATGAACTTCACTTATACCCATCCTGGTTATTTGAGGGGCACCAGTTTTAATTCTTCAGTGCATGTTCAGATAACTGAATATTATTTTTTCAACCTTTCATGACCTCCCCAGTTATTTAATTAAAAAAAACTTCAACAAACATTTTCAAATACCAGTTCAAACATTCTATTGTTTTCAAGTTATTTGGATGAATAAACCATATGACAAGTTTAAACTTTGCGATTGGGTTAAAGTCTTTAATGAAGGGGGAATAGTTTGCACTGTAATCGACAACTATAAACTTGCCCTTCAGCCAGAAAATTTCAGATAATCCCAGTATTTGGTTAGGCAAATTGCATCGAAATTAAATAGTGAAAATTTGAAAAAAAAAACTCAAGAGATGGTTATTCTTAAAAATAATACATACATCATCTCTTTTTCTGTGCAGGTACTCATCGAAGCCAGGAGGCGTTCTAGTTGGAGTCCTTGTAACTTCTGGAGCCCACGGTTGCCAGACTGAAGACGATCCCCACAGATAACCAGCCGACTGAGAAGTTACTTGGGATGGGGATGATAGCGACATTTCCATTAGTAAAGAGTTATCATTGATGAGCGAAGGATCATTCAGTAACGGGTTATAACTATCCCAGTACGTGCTTGAATTTAACAAACTTTGGTTCCATGGATCTAAAATACCGTCAATACATAATATTCAGAATAATAATACTGGAATTGATTTCAGGGATTCAAATAATTTTGATAAAAAAGAATAATTTTCCAATATAAATTCATAGAGATTTAACAGACACAAAGACATATATAATTGAAATTTTCCAAGAAAACGAGTAGTCTAAGGTGTTGATACTGAGCAGGATTCCTTGAAATATTGGAAAAAATTACATTCTTTATTAAATATCTATCCATCTTGCTAAATAACTTCAATAAATATTTATTTTTCCAATATAACTTCGTTTCAACTTTCCCAAGAAACATTGGCTGTTCATAAAAGGGAAATTCAAATTCAAAATATGTTTGAAAATATATAAACATTGGTAAAGATAAATTGTCAAATGTGAAAATACTATTCACCTAACAAAAAGTTTTTTACAATTACTTTGAGAAAATGGGGCATCTTGGAAATCCAACCATTCATTCTTTCAAGTAGATTTTCCCTATTCCATTCTGAGTATGGAAATTCTTGTAAAAATTTTCAGATGAAATGAGTGTTCATAAATGATTCACCAAACATTTTGAAATATTTTATATAGGTGTATGTGAAATGGCATAACTCTTGTTACATTGACCGTATCATATAACTACAAAAACTTTATGTGATAAAGTCTCCATCTCCATTAGTTAGATATTGATTTATTTGATAAGATATAGTCAAGAGTTGAAAATGATAATAAATACGTAAATTCTGTTACTCACCCTCCATTGACGTGTTAGTATCAGAAGGTTCAATAAGATTTCCATAATCCTGTTGATGATTCCAATTACTGACAGCTGAAGTATCATCCATATAGGTATTTTCTCTGCTACTGTTATCTAAACGGAGTTCGTCCGAGAAATAACTACTGTTGGAATCGAGAATTATGTTTTCCGAATTCAAGTACTCATCGTGAATAATATCACTGGTAGATCTACTATTATTGCCATTCAATCTGAAATTATCATCATTCAATGATCTGCGATTGACCTCATTGGAAGGGCGACAATCCAAGCGTTTAGAACCGATGGGCCCCAACTCGACAGAAGAGGTTTGTTTGTAGGGTTCCACATACATAGTTGGCTTATTGGTAACGGGTTTGCTACTGTGCGCCAAAGGGCGATTAGAGGAACACCCCATATCACTTCTTGCTACTACGTCGCTGAATCTAGCCCTACTTTCGCCCCAAATACACGGGACCGTAGATGGGGGCAAAGATATATTGAAACAGCTCGCGTTTTTTCGTTTTTCTATACTATCAGACTCTTTGACTTGTCTTTCGTTTTGTTTGTTTTTGTCGGAAGATTTTTTGTGAAAGTTACTTTTTTCCTTGCGATCTCTGCAAGACCTATCCCTCTTTTTCATTTCTCGAAGATGAATATGGTGTTTGCCGTGACTGTGATGTTCATTTGCTTTTGGATTAGCCTCATGGTCTTTGTTCTGTTTATCGATCTTCGGCGTTTTCTGTGAGGATTTTTGATGTTTGTTTCTGTTGTGATGATGATTATGATTGAAACTGACGTGTTTAACTTCGGACGTATGATTCAAATTTTCCTGTATAACAGGTTTCGAAGTTTCACTGTTTACATTGCGGAACTTACTCTTTGAGCAAACTTTTGATATATTTCTTTGGTTATTTTCTTTTTCAGGATCTTCATAATAACTACTGCTATCGGTAGTTGTGGATGAAGTTTCTTCTTCATATACAGGTACACTACTGTTTTTGGTATGTTTTCTGTTATTACAAAGCGGTTTCTTAACCTCCTTTTCTTTCTGTATAATATTTTGTACATGTTTTTTGTCTTTTTCTTCAGTTCTCAACAACTCCTTACTCTCTTTTTTAACTTTATGTTTTGGTTCGCTTATTTTTTCTTTCTGTTGTTTCTTCTCAAACTTTTCTTGGATCATGACGTCACACGGAGGTGAACTTTGGTTAGTTTCAATGCTATTCTTTTTCCCAAGTTTCTTTTTAGGCTTACTAACTGTTGGCACTACTGCCGTATATTGATCACTCTCTGACCTCGGTTTAATTTCATCTTCCAATTCTTTCTGCGATGCTTTATCCTCACAAATAACTTTTTTATCCTCGCACACATTCTCAGTCTTAGCTGATTGAATTTCTTCCCTAATTTGTTGGCCAACTAGTCTTAAATCCAACACGGGTTGTATTGTAGGACTACTTGGGGCGATAAAAGACCCCATCGCTTGCCTTCTAATTCGATCAGCATCCATCATGGCAGCAAATAAAATAATAATATATAAAATTCCCATCGACAGCACTGTCAAATAGCTCAAGTAAATCTCCCACGTTGGTCTAGCTATTAGATCCGAGCACAGATGCAAATAAGATGACGGTATGGTAGTGTACAGTGTGTAATTCACCGGAATATTGAGGCTGGTGCCAAGAATTAGGGTTCTGGTGATTTTTGTTAAAGTTAAATCCGGAGTGAATGCTATATCAATTTTTTTTGTTCCATTCGGGGGAAGCACGAAAGGTTCGCAATCCATCACTCGGAAACCATATCCCACACAAGCATAGTCATTTATGTGAAAACTATGAATGTAGAGCGGTACATCCCCGATATTTCTGGCAGTGAAAGTTCGTTTAACCGTCAAGTGTGGGTGGGAACATCCCGCTGACGACTTATGCCTCTCACATTCCCTGAAATGCTTGTCCGTTAAATCAAAGGTCAGCAGTTGAGTCGACCCTGGTTTACGGTTTCCGAACTTGAACGATGGCTGCGCTCCCTGAGCGTTCAGTCTAATAACTTCCAGAATTGTCAAATTATTTCTAAGGAAAAGTAGCGCTGAGTGAGGATTAACATCTTCCGTATAAAAACCGACAAGTACGCTCTGGGTCTGACCTGGTGTCAATAAAATGGGCACTGTATTTCTATTCGCGTTGATCCCCAGCATTTCCGAAAAAAAATCAAGATATTTATCTTTGGTGTTGTTCGGGAAAAAAAAACCGTGTGTAGGAGTGTATTCCCTTGAATTTTTCACTAGCAAGTTGGGTGGTAATCCGTTGTATAACGTCTTCATCTCTGGATAATCTCTATCAAACACCAGCTGTACCACCACGTTGTAACTAGCTGGATTACGAACCGTAATGTTCAGATATGTGAAATTCCCAACCTGCGTTAGAGGAAACATAAAAACAGAACGGTTCTCAGAATTTTGTTCAACAATCAAACTTGGCCAGCTTAGTTTTACTCTGGTTTTGAAAATATGCCCTCTAACTTCCGATGTGTCCAATCTGAGCGTGATATTCTGCCACTTCTTCATGCCATTAGAGGTTAAGTTCAAGTATCTGTTATAAAATACGTTGACCAGATGCAAATCAAAGTCCGAGACGAATTTAGGTAGTGAAAATGTTTTCAACCATTGAGCTGAAAAATAAAGTTTCTTTTAAAGATGTGACTAAATAATAAAAGCTGTGAGTTGAATTTGATTTAATATTTCTTAACCCTAACTAAAAGCAACGCAAATGTTCATAACAATGATCCTGATTAACTTCATTGACTATCAGAATAGGCTGAACTGAGAAAATGTATACCAATTCACTCATTTAATTGAAAAGCCCCCTATGTTGCATATTATATGAAACACATTAGAAATAGAAAAAATGACACCTCTCCTTATACCGTAGGTCACCGTGACCTTGAAAAATAGAAAGGAAAGTTCTTAAAAATAGAGAGGAAAGTTCTTTATGATTCCATACTTATTTTCAAGAAAGTCAATCTGAAACAACAAAATCATTAACCTCAAATTTACATAAGAGTTTATTGAAAAATTTTACAATTATCAACGAATCATAGAAATGATAACAATAACTACAAAACAGAAAATAGTAACCCGAGTAATTCAGGGCGTCATTGTTCAATTTGTGCATTTACTTTTGGGTAATTTCAAAAGTTTTGTCTGTTTTTATGAGTCTATTTTAAACTGTAACATCTCAGTGAATACCTAATCAATTTGATTGAAATACTCGTGGAAACGCTATTTGAATCAGTGCACTTTTGCCAACTTAACACAAGTCGATTAATTCCGTCAGCATATATATTGTGTGCTCGGAATTCGATGAAGTCGACGAAGGCCGTTTTTGCCTGGTAATGATTGGCGAAGGTTCTGCCAGTGAGAAAGTTGTCGAAGTGCTTGAAAAAATGATAGTCGGTGGGCGAAAGGGAAGTATGGTGGGTGAGGCAAAACTTCGACGCTCAATTCATTTTATTTTCGGATGGTGATTTGTAAAACGTACGGCGGGCATTGTCGTCTTCTGTTGACCAGTGCCGGCTGCTGCTGACGCAATTTTCTGTACATTTCGTCAATTAACTCACAATAGGACTCTGCTGTGATTTTGGCCCTGTTGCAGAAAGTTATAGTGAATCACAACAGCCGCTGACCACCATACAGTAACCATGGTAAATTTTTGGTGGTTTTTGCCTTTGGGAAGTGTCTGGATGGCCCATCGGTGTCCAACCACTGTCCTGAACGTCTCCTGTTGTCGTAGACGCTCCACTTCTCATCACGTGACGTGAACGTGAAAAAAAATCGTTTTGGTTGCGCAAAGGCAAAGAAGAAGAGACCTCGAAACGTGACAATTTCTGTCAATTGTTCAAATCGTGGGGCACACAATTTTCGAGTTTAATGACCTTTCCAATACGTTTTAAACCATCAAAAACCGCATGGGAACTCAAATCCTCGTCCTGGATCACTGTAAGTCGACCACTTCGGGGCTCATTTTCGATGCTAAAATCTCCGGAATGAAATCTCGCAAACCAACGTCGAACAGTGCATTCACTAACACTCTCATTGCCAAATGCCTGGTTAATTTTTCGGTCTGTTTTGGCAGCGCTTTGGTTCAATTTGAATTCGTAGAGAAAAATTGGCCAAAAATCTCTTAACCACATCATATAACATTAAGCTGAAAAGAGGTACAAAATTAAAATTGGAAGAAAACTGAATAGCATCAATGTAGAGTACAAAATTCCCCATCGATGTGTATATTCCACGACACAGTAGAATAAATATTTATTGAGATTAGGAGCTACAAAAACACATTAAAACGGACAAAACTTTTTGAAACAACCTAATACTAGACAAGGGAGTTAATCAAATTATGCTGTCTTATAAAGAAGAATATATGGAAAGTTGGTTGAATTATACTTTTGCCAATTCCATATCAAAGCTCTGTTCACCAAGACATGTCAAAACCGTCCAAAGTCAAAATATAATAATGACCCGAATCATCATCAATGTCAAAATGTTTCATAACTTTAGTCGAACAAAGCAAAGCGTGATTGTATCTAAAGCATTTCAACTTCAAAATCAAAACTTCTATAACAGCAATAATCCTGGTTTGCAACTGGGACTTCACCAGTTAACCATATTTTTTACAATTGAACTGATTGCTGTTTCAAAAATTCATGTATGTTTCAAAAATACATGATTTTGTTAATGGCTTATTACTTCTCTTACAAATTAATGAGATTTTGTTTTTTATTGAATCCATTCTTTTTACAATCCACATTAATCGTTCTCTACATATTAGTGGAGTTGAAAAACACCAGATTAAGTTGAAAAACACTTCGCAGCGACACGTTATAATATATGGTTTAATTACTGGTACCACTAACTGATGAAGTTACCTTGTAAGAAAACGCGTTTGAATTAAAATTTTATTATCATCATGGATATATAGTGTTATTAATTTTCATCAAATAACAAGTCAGAGTATCTATAATATATCGTTTTGTCAAAATCTGTTATAAATGTGAATAAAGTCGATTTATTATCATTACTATTATTATATTTTTGGCTCTTAGTAAAACATAGAACTTTTGTTTGTCGTTGATAAGTCGAATCAGATATATTCATAAACTACTGGAAAAAATCTAGGAATATTTGCTAATCTCAGCAAAAATAGATTCTGTATTGTTGCATATCTCGGTTAATCGAATATAGTGAGCATTTTTATATTCATTCCCATTTATTTTCTCTAATTAGTCAGTTTTTCTTTTCAGATAAGCAATCACATGAACTTTTTAGTTTGTTTATTTATTGATGAAGAATAATAATCATGCTGTGTATTAAACACATGTAATAATGTTAAGTTTCGTTTTAACTTTCGATCGAAATTATTTGTATGCAATTCAATTGTGATCAAATAATTGCAGAAAGGCATAATTTATCGCGTGATGAAATGTTGAGAGCTGTGGAGATGCTTCAAACAGGATGCAGGTGCGACAGCTGATTAACGGAAAAATATATTTTTTAAGCAGATTTATCATTAGTATCGTAGAATTTTTGCAGTGTTTTGAATATATTCTCAATTTAAAAAATCCCCCAAAATAAAAAAAAGTCAAATAATTCCCCAGTATACGTACGTATAACTCAGATACATCTTGAATATTTTTCATTTATTTTTGTTACTTTTACTTTTTCACTTGGTTTGCCTGATAACAAGGATGTAATAACTAGGAACTTTCCTCTCTTTTATTTCGAAGTCACGAATGATTTTAGGTATTTTCTAGAAACTTAAAATAACTATAACTTGAAAAGAGGTGGACATAAAAAATTGAAACTTTGTATATTTCTACATCCATATAAAAGGTACATATGTACCAAGTTTCGTGAAAATCTTAGATAATAACGTGGTTTATTAGGTGTATTGATTTGACACGTAATGACGCTCACCCACAAATACATGTTGTGTGCACATAGCCAGACTTCATTCACGTCAAATACTTGGTCATTTAAGTTGAAAGTACCTCCGTTTTTAAAGTTCCAAAAGGAAAATGGAATTTACATAAAGTCTGGCTACCCACATTCAACAATACATAAATCAGGCCGATTAACCCAACTAATAGGAACGTAGCTACGCCCACCAAGCAATGTAAACCACGGCCAATAACAAACCCGGAAATCACTTCAACACAAGTTATCTTCGACCTTGGAAGTTTCTTTTCAGTAATTTTTTTAGGCTCCCCTCCTCTTTTTATCTAAGGAATAAAATCCCCGAACAACAATATCCACCAAAAACATCTCAGTAAAAAATCTCAAATCTCAAGACTAAAATATCTCACACAAAAAACTCAATACGAAAATGTGTCAATAACGCGCCCAATAAAATAGAACAAAGAAGGAGATTAATGTTAATGGCATGTCTCGAATATTGATAGAAATTGAACAAAACAATCAGATAAATAGTGTAGAAGATACAACACGAGCAGCAGTCAACTACAGTACGGCTTGTCAAATATAAGAAGAGCATTCTGAATTCCGTTATGGTCCCACCCACTAGATGTGCGTTCGTTAGAAGACTATGAGAGCGAGAAAGAGAGAGAAAGATAATTCTCAAGTCTCTTCCTAGATTTGACAAGCTGTATGTATGGAGATTAACGAGGAAAAAACATAAAACGCCGAAATTAGAGAAGTTTCTGTACGAAATTTTATTTGGCGAGATGTATTTGTCACGAAAATTTTTTGCTTGAGACTTTTTTCACCGAGACCTTATTGCTGAAATATTATCGACCGATATATAAATATTACAATAAAAAGATGTGGTTAAAACAACTGGGACAAATCTGAAACCAAAAGAATATACCTGAAGTATCTGTCTGCAGTCCAGTGTAGCAATCTGCTTGACACTGCACGTCGAGATTCAAGAATACGTGTCCAATAATTTTTGATGTTCTGGCAAGAATGTGACCAGTGTGTCTACTTGAAATCCTCTTATCAGGAGGCAGAGTAATTATGTCTTCGATGATCATAGGATCATTAAACGTTGAGTGAACACGAACCGGATGGGAACAAATTTTAGCCTGAAGTAAATTAAAAAAAAGTAATTAAAAAACATAGAATTATCAACAAACCAAATACTGAATTCACAACAGTTCGGTTTCCAGATTTCTATGAGTTAATTTACAAGGTCAATTGTAAGGAAGCTGTTCTTAGCGACATTCAAAGGAGATGGATTGTGTAAACCACGAGATACTTTTTGCGGAAGCTTCATTGTTACTGTTTCAGTGAAACTACCCTCAACCAGTTCAAATCATATGTATCTGATTCAGATATAACAAACATGTGGGGTGTCCTGCAGGGCTTTGTTTAGGTCCGATTTTATTTCTACTTTATGTTCATCATTTGACTGCTAGTAATTTCAGAAAATTTTACATTGTTTGCTGATGATACCACATTGTTATGGCATCAAAAATGAAAATATGCATTTGGATGTTATGTTCTAAAGGTTTATATTGTTGAAGGTGTCAGTTCAATAAAAGAAAACCTCTGAATATAACCCATACCAAATGGTGGAACAGGAAGTTCTAGCACAGAATGAATTAGATCAAATATGTTTTATTCTCATAAGATTATAATGTCTTATTAGATAAATTCTTATGTTTATTCATCAATCAATCGATAATTAGGTCTTCAAATGAAAACTTTAAAGAACCATTCATATGAATTGGCCATTATAATATAAATAAAAATGAAGATATGAAATACAAACAGAGATTTAATGGGCAGAAGGTAGTTCAGCGAAATTAAACAAATCTATTGAAAACAATATTCTCACACCAGAACAAAAATAGTGTCTCTTGATGAGTGTTTCGCTAAGCAGGTTATCATCATCAGGAGACGACAATATTGAGCAGCCCTAAAGAGAAGATAATAAAAACCGAAAAAATTGATTTGTGAGATAATCTGCGGGGAGTGTTACAAAAAGTATGTTGGTCAGACTAAATGGTCTATTAAAATCCATTTCAAAGAACATGTAGCGCATACCCAATTCCTTAGTCTATAAACTTTTGGATACTTGTGAAAGTCTCAAAACAAAGTGTGAAAACTATAAACAATGACAAAGGTCCCATTCCAAACCTCCCATTTTTGGGTTTTTTACGAACAACTGCATTACCTAATTTCTATTTGAGGATCAGCCCATAAATCTACAATAAAACCTTTGAAATCTTTACTCAAGTTTTTAATATCTATCAACAAATTAAATGTTCACTAATACTCATATCAATTATGTGTTTTCTCGTTCAATATTTCATCATTTTGTTAAATTTATATTTTTAGTAAATTTAGTTAATCCCAATAAACATTTAATGTTTATTGGGATAATAAAGACAAATCAAAATCAAAAACTTGAAATTAGAGGAAATTTTGTACTTAGCAAATCACTGATGTGTTACTGAAAGTGGGCTTTCATACTGTTAGATATGAATAATTGAAGGTAAATTCAACGAATGAGTATAGTTCATCCCCACATGATGTCTAGTTGGTTTTTGAAACACAATTTGAGAAAATTGTTGATGTTTTAGTGTGCAGGAGCAGTGATTGTGTTAGGTTAGGTTATGTCCAAACTGAGTAGGCCTATTCGACCCTCCACGGCAACTTGCAAGGGTTTATTGTGGCTCACACTCCAAATAAACCCTGTTTTTTAACAAAGCCGATTAGTTTGTATGTGTATGAGTGATTGTGTTAGATCAACTTCAAAAATTGAAATGACATGGCACTACACGTTAATAAATTTTTCTGCACATATCTGTTTATAGAGTTGGTTGTTTCAAAAGTTTTATCCTTTTTATGGATCTACTTCAAACTGTAATATCTCAGTGAATACTTGTTCAATTCAATTAAAATAAACGCTATTTGAATCAGTGCACTGCTACCAACGTAACACAAGTCGTCAGCATAAAAATTGCCTGTTCCTGATTTGATGAAATCGAAGAAAGCCGTTTCATTTGATGAAGTCGACGAAGGCAGTTTTTGCATGGTCCAGATTGGGGAAGGTTCTACTGGTGAAGTGCTTGAAAAGATGGTAGTCGGTCGGCAAAGGTCTAGGGAGTCAGGTTGGTGAGGCAGAACTTTAAAGCTCAATTCATTTAATTTTTAGACGGTGATTTGTCAAACTTGCCAACGGGCTTTGCTGACGCAATTTTCGGTACATTTCGTCGATTTCCTCACAATATGACTCTGCTGTGATGGTTTGGCCCAGTTGCAGAAAGTTATAGTGAATCACAACAACCGCTGACCACCATACAATAACCATGGTCTTCTTTTGGTGGGTTTTCGCCTTTGGGAAGTACCTGGGTGGCTCATCAGAGTCCAATCACTGTCTTGAACGTCTCCTGTTCTCGAGAGGATCCACTTTTCATCACACGTGACGATCCGATCTAAAAAAAGATCGTTTTGGTTGCTCAGAAGCAAAGAAGAACAGACCTCAAATTTTGACAATCTCTGTCAATCGTTCAAATCATGGGGCACCCACTTTTCGAGCTTATTGTCCTTTCTAATACGTTTAAAACCATCAAAAACCGCATGGGAGCTGACGCCCAGTTCTTCCATCATCCCACTCACCGTTTGTGATGGTTCAGTCTCCACCAGGGTCTTCAAATCCTCGTCCTGGATTACTGTAGTAGGTCTACCACTTCGGGGCTCATCTTCGAGGCTAAAATTTCCGGAACGAAATTTGGCAAACCAACGTCAAACAGTGCGTTCGTTAACACTATCATTGCCAAATGCCTGGTTAATTTTTCGAGCTGTTTCGGTAACGCTTTGGTTCAATTTGAATATGCAGAGAAAAATTGGCCGAAAATCACAGAACGGCATCATATAGTCATAAGCTGAAAAGAGGCAAAAAATTAAAATTTGGAAAAAAATAAACATAAGTATAGAGTACAAAATTCTCTATTTATCAGTATATACCACGATACAGTAAAATAAATATTCATTGAGATATGGAGCATCAAAAACACATGATATTAAAATGGAGAAAACTTTTGAAACAACCTAATATCACACTATCTCATGGTTTTGAGATATCCTGTAAAATTTGATATGAAGCAAAATAAGTACACCTGTCAAAAATGACATAGTTGAGGTTAAAATAGAAATTAAAAAGCGGTACTCACAGGAAAGCACTGATCAAAAATTAGTTTGTCGGAACTAATATCAAGCCTTCCCGGAGCTATCTTGAAATGTACAGGTACTTTCAAGTTCTCGAACTGGGTTTCCACATAAAGGTCTCCCCATACTTGACCCTCGACATGTGAAGTAGTAACAACCACTTTTATTATGGCGTAGTGTTTTGCTTTCAGATTATGCTAAAAAAATATTCTGAAGAGGATTTCTTGCTTTTGGCGCCATTACTTACGCATCTAGTGAGATTGGAAAATGAAGGCTGAAAAAGAACCAGCCTGTAGTCACCGCTTCCGCAGCCGAGCACCCCAGCTTGTGTCATCGGGATCGAAGAATGGATATTCTTTAGATGCAATGTTACAGGGTTATGATTCACAACCATGAAATAGACTTCTTTTCTAGAATCAAAACCAATCAAACCAATGTCTAATGAATAGTCTTTGCTTTTGAAAGGTAGATGCTGAAAAAAATGCAACAAATTAATGATATTTAGAGAGGTTATTTGGATGAGACAACGCAGAGACATGTACAAAGTATAGAGAAACAGAAAAATATCAATAATTTTTTGAAAAAAACTTTTTTAAGAAAAAAATATTTGAAGAAACCTGTCTTTAACCTAATAAATATTATCTCAACTTAATGAACAGTACATGTTATTTGTGAGTATTATACTAAACCTGTACATAAGGTAATAATATTTTTGACTCTTAGAAAATCTGTTGTGGAAGGTGATTATTTTTATATCAACTCATAGTCCTTTCAGCCATCTATACGATCTTCAACAATCAGATTCAAACTGATCAGTGAAGTGAGTGGTAAAATATTAACCTAATCTACAAATATAGCATGAGTAAAAAGCTAAAGTAACGTTATTCTTAGTGAAACTTCGGTAAAAATCGAGAAAACGTGGGTAAATTATTAAACTATGGTATAATGTATACAGTAAAGAAATATTTTGGCTTTTCAATTCTCCATCTTTATACGAAAAAATGTCGAAACTTTCCAAAGAAAGGAAGAAAACGATTAATTTTAAAATAAACTCTTTACAAATATGTGTAGATAATGGAAAGTTTGAAATTATGACTCCCATTTCTTCTTGGAAGTACCGTGTCTTTGAAAATAGCACCGACTGACAAATTTGATTTTCAGATACATGATCAGCAGATAAAAGTACATCCCTTGCAAGAAAAAAAAATTGGTCGAAATGAAAACTTACAATATTACAACTCTCTATCCCTTCTTGGGTACCGATTGAACAATTATTTTTGAAAATAACTTACAACTTGCAATTTTCCATTATAGCTCAACAGCGGAACAGTAACATCTGAAATATTAGTTCTTAAAATGATGTGTGAATGTAACTGCAAATCAGACAATCTGATATTACTCTTGAGTTTTATGTTAAAAATATTAGTTTCTTCAGAGGGCCTTAGCACCTTTGGAGTGAGCGTTTCAATCTGAAAACAGTAATATTATTTTTTTTTAGAGATAAATTCAACTACGTACCTTAAAATACAAATGAGCATCTTGTGGAAAGGTTACATTCCGTATTTGAATGGGATATTCGAATTCGTTTTTTACTTTGAACGATCTAGAAGATAAGTCAACGGCCTTATCGTTTATAAAATAAGTAGTTGTAAGAGGATTATATGTAATACCCCCTTTGAGAACCGTTATGTAATACGGAATCTCAGATCTGTTTTTTCCATTACGATATTTCACTATAATTTTTCCAGAAAAGTCTTTGGTTTCATAAGCAGTTTTCCCTGAAATGTTCAATCCCAGTTAGATAATAATACTAGTCAAATTCAGCACATTTATAAAAAATTTGTGTGTTTGGGCAATCAATGACAGAAACTCCTATACGTTTTTTGGTAAAACTTTTTAAGAATTCATACTATTTCAGAGATGAAAGCTATTAATATGATATTATTCACAAAACTTATTCAAAAAACACACTTTAATGCTACACCATAGCATCTACAGGCGTCACAAAATTGTTTTGTGAACTTTCGAGTGGAAATATCATAGAAGTTTGTTTTTTGAATACGTTATAATGGATTATCACCAAGTATCGGTCGGTTCAATCACATTATTCACAAAAAATGTATTGAGAGAGAAGGGGGTCATATCGAGCAGTTTTTATACCAGATTTTTCATTTCTGTGTGCTCTCGAGGCTTGCGATTGATATTTACACCATGAGTTTTGTTAAGTTAACGTTAATTCGTTATGCTCCGATCAATTTGTCACACTAGTACTTTTATTCAGAAAAAATTCTAAGTTACCTGATTTTGCTGAAAAAGTTTTGGGGTATGGACCTTCGGGGTTAGTCCGTTCCTGACTTTGTAGCACTTGAAACGTTATCAAATAAAAATATATTTTTCATTTTTTAACTTTGAGGGCCCGTAACTTGGTAACAAAAGATTTTGGAAACGAAAATTATACGAAGTACTGGTGATATTTTGACCCCATTTATACATTCCCGAGAGGAAAAGAGGAAGTCAGAGGACACCCTGTATAACATTTACAGGTAGAACATTGGTGAAGATAAGGTGTCATAATAGAAAGTGTAACGGAAGGCACTGCGTCTTTTATTATCTAGGCGATATTCAATTCAACAGAATCCTAACTGGAATTGAAAGGGTTACGTCTCTCACCTACATAGGTCCGCAGGAGTGTTAAAATGCAAGAACATAACATTAAAGTTTTTGAACTGGATAAAAAAGATATAGCGCATAGATTAGATTAAAGGATTTGAAGTGTTGAAAGCCCAACAAAGATATTTATAACAAATATTGATGTGTTACCTGCATATGCTAGACATGCCTCTTTTAATCCTCTCTGTCAAACCCACACATTTTTCCGAAACCCAGTTAAACTTAAAACGCCCCTTTTTTCAAATTCCACAAAAGTAGATACTGACTCATATTGTGTATAATAACAATATAATACAATAACTTATCCTACGAATAGATTTAATGACTGTTTGAAGGTGGTTGACAATGTTTCGTGGTGTATTTCATCAGTTCGGACTTCCATTGTCTAATATAATATAAATTGATTTGAAATTCGTGAAAAAATTGACCGTTTGGCGGGTCATCTCCCGCTAAAACCAATGAAGCTGAGAGAGAGAAGAGGAGATAGGTGAAATCACTCGAATGACCTATAAATAATCAGATCTCGGAGGAATAAGTCCAGTTATCACCCGAAGACGATTGTGGATACTAACAATCTTGGTTTGGAATGTTTTAATTTTTATTTTTCATCTTTTTTGTCAATAATATTTTTTTAATTTTCAGCTTTTATTAATATTTCAATTTTTTTTTTTTGGTTGTTGCTTGTATGTTATTTCCTTGTAATTACAGTTTTTTGTTTAATAAAATTGTTATTTTCGGTTAATCTTTTTAAATTTTTTAAATCAATTTATATAATATTAGGCAATGGAAGTCCAAACTGATGAAAAGATTTAATGACATTCAGTTACAGATGCTTATGGAAACACTAACGCAACCATAAATGTTTAGAATCATTTTGGTTGATGAACTCAAGAGAGAAAAAGTAAATAACAGTAAATTCTTGGTGACAAAGATGAGTCAGGAGGTCTAATTATGTATAACTATTAGTTATTTATAAAATACGATTACCTTACATTAAAATAGAATAAGAGATGAGATAATATGCAATATAAATGAACACCAATGATTTTTCTCCTTGGTTCAAAAACTTTTTTATTAAATTTATAGACGAGGTTTACATGACAAAATATGTAATTTGTTCAATAGGTTTTGTGTTGTAGCGTAACTGCAGAAAAAACAGAATTCAAATTTATTCAACTATAAATATCAGTAACAAAAATATACTCACAATCCACTGTCAATGTTCCGACATTGACACACTGATTGCTTTTTCCTTCATCCTCACTGTAAGGTGGCAAACGAATATTGTAATATTGCACCTTGATAGCTTTAGAAACAGTCGAAACACTGTGTATTCGAACGTGCTTCTTATGAGGATTAAAAAGGCATAATTTAACCTCCTTCGGAGCATCCATATTACCACCCATACCGAAATCCACAAACCCTTGCGGATGGAAGAGTCCCATTGTAGGGGCTACTTCGACTTCTATTGGTATAACCAGCGTTTCGTCTGGCTTGTTCAGTTTTATTCTGAAATGGAGATAAATTTCAAACATCTGAATTTTTTTATAATGATAGCAACAATATTAGTTTTCCTCAGAGATATTATTACTTCTGTAATATAATTTGTTTGTACCAGTGTGAAAGGGAAACTATAACTTGTATCAGGCATTGTCATGTAATTTCTAAAAGTTGTTGGAGCAAAATGTTAATTTCTTATATTTTCAGCTATTTAAAATATCCAGCAAACACTTTGGAAATATCATTAGAAATAACGCATTTAGAAATAACAATATTATTCAAATTTGATTTTCGGGTAATGTTCATCAAAATTATTTAGTTTGTATATGTAGGAATATAAACTCCAAACTATATAGTGTGTGTTGTGAGGATTTTAAAGGTAAAATTGAATTATTTTGGTACACTTTTTGAAAGGTATTGATAAAACTAAGGTTAATTGAAAATGACTTATAAAATATTTCCATATAACCAGCAACTCATAAATTAACATTTCTAGTAAATATTTAGCGACAGATCTGTTGTAACAAATATAATCTGGTGAATTCGAAATAAAATATACCAATTTTCAATAAATTTTGAAGGTTATATGTAGTATGAAGTTGTATATAGAATTGAGAATCGTATAGGTCTAGAACTGACCACTGAGGCATTCCCTGCGAAACAAAATGAATAGCAGAACTGTTATTGATCAATATTAAAACTTGTCTTCTTCCATCAACTGTTGATTATTTCTTTCTCTCCCATTCTTTCCAGTTTGTCAATAACAGTTCATGATTATTGTCAAAAACTCAAGTTGAAACACAAGACAAATGAATTTAGTTAACTTATAGCTATAATTTATGTAGAAAATTAGCTGAGGTGTTATTTGATTTTGATTGTGCCACAATTTATTTCAAATACTTCAGACTTTGCCTGACTATAATTTTCACTTTGTTTTTTTACGAACGGGTACCGAATTGATGATTTGGGTATTCTCTAAACTCATTCATGACGTCAAGACGGCTTCACTTAACGTTTTACCATTTACTTTGTCAATTATTTTTTACGTTGCTCAAAATATCATTAACTTTGTCAGATACTACACGAATTCTAAAAAGAAAGCTGCCTACATTAAGACGTTCGAAAACCTATGGAATAAACTCATCTGGATATGGGAAACTAACTAGATTGGCTTTAATGTTAATTCTTCGAGACATAAGCATCTCTACAAAAAAAGTTATATCAGAATTTGCCTTAAAACATTGGAGTATTGATTTTATATTATAGATATAAAAGGAAATTCCTTAAATGGATATAGTTTATTTTAAACTAATCCTCCTGCAAAATCGTGAACATGAACTAGAGACAAGGTTGTGAATGCAAATGTTCTATACTGAACCGTGATAGCGATATACCATCAAAGAAACAGAAAATATCACACATAGCAAAAAAAATGAAAATTTTTTCTACTTTTTTAAATATTTTCCAAACCAGATATAATGATGTCAGGCTTCCTGCTTCATTACGTTTGTTGGGGGGTTCAAATCAACACCAATATGCCCTGGCACAATCATGTCGCTGGAATTGCAAAGGCTGCTTCTCAAAAGCTTGGAACTAACATGGGAAGCACACATACAAACATTGTGTTCAAAAATGAGCACTTCCTGTTATATAATAAGAAACTTAAGAGAAACTGTTTCACATGACGTTTTAAGAACACTTTATTTTGGGTTAGTTCAGTCAGCCCTACAGTATGGACTGATCTTCTGGGGTTCTTCCTGTCATTTTAAGGAGGCATTCCGTGCACAAAAGAAGGTATTGAGGACTATATTTAAAGCCCATCCAAGTTCAACCTGCAAACCTCTATTTAAACAATTTCAAATAATGACGCTGCCTTGTCTTTATATATCTCAGTTAATAATGTTTGTAAAGGAAAATGAAATAGAGTTTAAAAAAATCGTGATGTTCACTCGTATTTGACTAGAAATAGAGAAAATTTTTACCAGCCTTATTCTAGACTTGGAGTATGCCAAAATTCACTGAATTATATGGGTATCAAATGTTTTAACAAAGTAAAGAGCTTTATTGACAATAATAACAACATTAATATTTTCAAGAAAAATTTACATCATTTTTAATTGATAACTCATTCTATAGTATTGATGAGTTTTTAGACTTTTAACTTTATATAGTCTACGTAAGTCTATCTCCCTTATTTTAGTTTTGTATGATCTATGTAGGTCTATCTGTCTTTAGATTTATACGATTATGTCTCTCATTATGTGAACATATATTGTGTATATTTTTTTTTCTCTGACTAGTCCGATAAATGTTATGCATTTTGTAAGTCAACACAGTTTGTATAACCTTTGGTGATGAATAAATATGAATATGAATATTGTTTTGAACTAGAAAACTGTACACAGAAAAAACTTAAATTTTCTATAGCAATTTTACAAATATTTACTGGAATACTTTGTCATTCCAAGGGGAACAAGTGTGACTTTTTTAAAGTGATCTAGAGAAAAACTTGAACGATTTACAAAAGGCTTCAGCTTAATATAAAAACTGTTCAGATTTTCGTTTGTATTCTTAAGAAAAGTGATTTTCAACAAATTTTAACAGCTAGTGAATGTAATACTAGATTACCTTATGTATGCAGTATGATTCTGCACCACGTGGGCTAGGTAACGAACCTTGATTACAGCCTTTGTTTGCTGAGGAGGAATTTCCCACAGATCGTTGGATCCCTCATGTTCGCCAGTAGGTAGCTCAAGATGAAAACTACCTCCGCTACTGAAGATTTCGATAATCTGTGAAAAACAATATCATACGATGTTGACATATATAATAATCCTTTCAAATTTCTAGTGAAGTATAAACATTTATATTATTTCCAAGAAAATACAATGGTTTATACAGAAAGCTTCAGACGAGAATCCAGTAACCCGAAAGTGACATTGAAGGATATCCAAGGTTAAAAGTAAAATTACACATTCTTCGCAGATATTTACAGATGTATCAATGAAGGCAAGTTAACGAGTGTAGTGTACAATAATAGAAGTTTTGTGAATCGTTAAATTTTCAATTTCTCAATATTTTCTTTGGATTATGTTTTATGAAATATATTTGTTATATTTCAATCAAGATATTTTGAATCAAAATATCTTGATTGAAAATCTTTCGACAGATTGAATGACATATTTGTATACTCATTACACTGAATGTTTTCTTTATATGAAACTTTCCCTCTGATTCAAATTCACTGATCACGTTGGCATATTCTCAGTTTCTTTCAACGTTATGTAAGCAGTTTTCTTTATTCAATTTTCTTTTGGTTTTGTTTGATTTATTCACCGGCATTTTGTGCTGCTCTCATGCATGACTTTTTTGTTCATAATAAAAATATATACAAAACTATATACACTATAAAATTACAAATGAATGTAGATGAAGGAATTGGCTGATACTTGTTTAAAACAACTAATGTTATGGAATGGTTCGAAAGTTACAAGGAAAAATAATTATTCGCTAGTCAAAGAATCTGGTATGTATCAACAAAAATAAAAGTTTCGAACCCAATACCTATATCTGCCTCTTCCCTGAAAAGCACCTTATCAGTAAATTGTTACAACAAGTAAAACAAAACAATGTTAAGTTTGAACAAAAAACACGCAGAAAATGCAAACGTTACAACTTTTTCAGAAAAGTAAAGCAAGAAAAACCTGGTAAAAAATTGGAATGATATATTTATTTTTCCAAAAAAAGTTTTAAAAGCCTCGCTTATAATTTTTTTAAGTTTGCAATAGTATGAACATTTGGAAGGTTGTTAGGAACAGAAAAAAAACATTATAAATTGCAGAATGTTCTGGGTTTTATACTCTCAATAACCAGTATGCCTACTTACGTGACAAGATAAAATAGCACATGCATTTGGGAATGGAAGCTATACAAAGCACTTACTTCATAGGATTTGTTCATTCAGTGAACAGCATAAAAACTTTCAGCATCAAATAAGTTAAAATTAACCAGATTCTATAAAAGTGGTTACACCAATATGGTTTCAAAATGAGTACATTTTGTTTAACAGAACCAAAATAATTACAGCAGCCAGTTTTTATTAAATAAAAATGTCTGTTATCTTCAGTGTTTCAGCTATACAGAAAAAAATTAAGATAATAGAAGACTAATATAAGAAAAACATGATATTCATCTTTGACTTTTACCTATACTATGTTTCTTGATATCAGTTATATTTTCTTATCTGTGAACTACTTTATTTTTGGATGAATAAATAATTCATATGTCCATTTCCATAGTTAACGGGAATGTATCAGAGATATTATTCTCAAGAATTCCAATATATCAAGCTTACAAGTCAAATTTGTGACAACTTGTTTAGTAAATTGCAACATCATCGATTTGTATGTTCTAGTTTTTCTGGAAAATACGATAAGTTTAGTGAAGAAGGTTTACTAACGGCTCTTACTCAATACTTACTAATGATCAATCTGACCTTGGAAAGTCCATCATCAGAGTTTAAACCCTGATGATGGACTTTCCAATTCTGAATATTGTTCGTGATTTTAAGTTTGTTTGTAACATTGAAGTACGTAATGTTGGACTTTACCAGTTCCTAGCTAATAAATATGTAGATCATCTAACATTTCAGAAATTACAAGTGCCCTTTCAGCAAGTTATTAGTAAAAAAAATACGAGATATTCTTGGTATAATCGATATTCCCAGGAATCAATACCGAGTTCTTTGACTTTTCAGTGGTCCATCAGTGATATAACCACATATATCAACACAAAATGTAGTTTTATCTAGCTAACATTACCTAAAATTTACTTTATAACATGATAGAAGCTTTAAATAGATACTGTAAATCCAAGAAATACACATTTGTTTGGAATATATTTGCAAAATATTTTTGGGAGTACTTGACTCTTCAAAATCAAGAACACTTGAGTGTCTTCAATATAATTTTTGTTTGACTTTATTTCATTACAAAAATGGTTTGCAATAGAAAGTTTACAGCTTAAGCGGAGAACCCCTATTGATATAAAAAAATATAAGTATGTCTTACTTAGTCCGTAAATTAAAATTGTTACTGAATCAGTTCGGTTGATTTAGTTGTGTTAAAAGTTTGTTAGTGACTTAAAACAATTGAAATTGAAAGTCTAGATTTGACTTAATAGTTAGTTATTAAAATTTATACAAATCAGAGTGATAAAAAGTTTTCTTTATTACTATTGAAAACATTTTTTCCTCTCTCAGTAATTGACTGATAATGTTTGTTCTGATAGTTTATATTCCCCTATTTTATTCATTTATTTAACTGGTTTAACCACAAGTAATGTATTTATTTCTCTATATATACGTTACCTTATAAATTAATGTATTTCTGTTACACAATAAAGTTTTATCATTATTGATTAATTGCTTACATGTTGCCTATCATAAACATCTTTTACTTCTCGAGATCAATCAAGTTTAATTTTTTTTAGAAATTTCTGCCCCAAAAAACCAACTAACTACGGTCAATTGTAAAGTCAAATTTGGACACTAGCAGTCAAATGAGTAATTGCTTTCTGCCTCTCTGCAGCTTTCACCGAGTCCAAACATTGCATATGAGTATCATTGATTGAGTCTACAATAGATCATTCAAAATAATACTTTATTTCTGGTTTCATCTAGTTACAGGTTTTTGCAGTGCTGCAGTGAGAAACAGGAGAAGATTGCTGAGTTGCAGGTCGACCAGCTTCTGTTGATTACAAAAAATAGCGCCACTTCTTAAGAGTTTAGTGTCAAAATCTTAACGTTTCCTTCAATGAGTTAGTTATGAAAAATGGAAGTACGAAATTTGTAGTCATTCAAAAATATACAATAACCGAACATATCATTTTATCGTGTAGTCTATTAAACAGAAATATCTTGTTCCGATAATTATCAACTTATTTGGTACGGAAAATTTTTCAAGGGTCAGTCCTTTGTAATTTCAATTGGACACCACATATATTCAACAGACATTTTACTCACCTGTATCGGTTCAGAATGAGGATTATGTATATAAATAAATGGTGAAAATGTTGAATTTATTGGCAACTTTATCCCGACAATGGGTCGTATTCGATAATGGCTGAAGGTGCTGACACCCTTAACCTACAAGAATTTCATTCTGGTGGTTTGTTTCAAAATAGAATGAAAAAAATCTCACGTTGTACTTCATGAAACCCTCCGATGTATGTATGAACAGATTGCTTTCTATAAAGCCTTCCTCCCTTCCTAGAAATACCACGTTAAAGGAAGTATTTCCATTTGGCGGTAATTTCTAGAACAACACCAGAAGAAAATCGTTAGAAATTGACAGTTCTAAAAAGGAAGGATGATACAAAAGAAACTTTTTGAAAGAGCACAGGCCATCAGTTACTTTGTTGAATTTGAAACCGATTTTACGAAAATTTTATGCCCTAATAAGGGCATTAAATGCTGACAAGGGGCTCAAGTTTTCATAATACATTATTTAAGGGAAATATATTTTACACTATTTTGAATTAAATCCATGGAACAAATAAAATTTGAACACGAAACTTTTATTATTATTATTACATTATACAAAAAGTATTTATAAAAACAGAAGAAAACTAATTAAATCGATTGGTCACTGAAGCTTCTTCTCTGTGACATCTTGCTTGGTAAAAGTCATCTAAATAGTGTAATAATAAACTATTGAAATCTTTCTACTTTTCTCTAACTAATGACGCATTTTTTGCAGATGATACGAAAATTCCAATTGAAAAGATTAATAACTATTTTACACTGCCAGGAACCTTAGAAAGATGAGTCTGACATTTGTGACAAGTAGCAGAAACAATCTTAAAAGTATATTATAACTGAGGGGCGGTTTTTTTTGGAAAACGTGAAGTCTTCCTTTTCCAGATTTGGGATCCGGTAAAGATGAATTGTCCTTGAATCCATCCTAAGGATGAATTTATAATTATGCCCACCAAATAATTTAGGCACGCATTAGATTAACTTGGTAGACGAAGAAAGTAATATTGATAGAGAAACTTGGCAATGTTGACATAAAATATATTTGTGAATTATGGTCTACTTTTAGTAATTTATCCACACTAGGTTTTGTTTTTAAATTTATTATAGTATATAATAATATATAATTCAATATCCAGCGTAGTATTAGCCGGGGAAGTAGTTGTTTTCCGGCAGGCATTTACCAGAAGCTACTGTGTGGGTATGTTGGAAGAGATGAATATTTTGAAATTTCATTTATTCTTTTATATGTTTGTATTTCTCCTCTGTTCAAATTTGTTTTTCCGTTAACCAGCTGTTGTACCCCTACGAACGACAACCCTCAGAAGTCGAAACTTGTGCGAGCTAAGGACTAACGAGGTCTTACCTTTTAACGTGTGATTCCCAACAGTCTTCAGACCCTTTAGAATAAGTTGTAATTTGAGAATATTTCAATTCTAGTTTATTGAAGAAAACATTAATAAATTTTCAGGCTTCAATAAGTATTGAAATTAACATAAAGATAAAAAACTGTAGTTTATTGATTAGTGATGTAAACAAAAGTCACACCAGGTTCCTGATTACCAAAAACAATCAAATAGATTGGTAATAGGAATAATGTAAAAACAATCAGAATGACAAGTGGACTGAAATCAATTCTTATTTGTACTCAACCTGAAAAAAATGATACACAAGACACCTTCTCCAATTAACAATAATATAGGAAAGACCTTTAGAAGTCCAGATATCTTGTTTATAGACAGATAATGTAATGCAAAAAATACACTGAAAGAATCTGTCTATATTTTTTCACCTAGTGATTATTATAGCAAGAAATCCATTAGAAATGACTCTGTTGAAAAATTAGAAGAGTTAAGGCAGATGTAAGAAAACACTTGATTGATGATAGTATCATAATATGCCATCTCAAAAATTGACAAATGATTTGTCAATTATCAACCTTTACAAACATTGTGCTCAAAAATGAAATGTCTTTTTTTGAATAGTGTTTCCGTTTGTTTTTAGTTCTTTTTATTCAATTTTTTCATTTGACAAATATACAATATGACAGTACTCTGATGTACACTCCTACAATAAATCTAACAAGCACTTTTCCTAATCACCAGAAATACAATACTCCTCTTCACGCACTTTTGATGAAGAAAGCTGACCTCGTACAATATTCGATAACTCAACCAGAAAGACTCACACATCAAAATATGCTCATGTTACAAGCATTGTTTTCTGGCTGGCCAGACAATTAGATTTGTTCATAACTGTGGTTATCAAAAGTGAGTATACATGTAACTATTAGGATGGTGCAAAATTCAGTGTTCAAGCTGCATATTCTCAAAGTTCCTCATCATCCACAAACTTTTATTTCAATAATAGTCTCTTTATCAGACATGTTTAGGATGAGGTACTAGTTTTGTTTAAAGGTTATATTATTTTGAATAAATTTGTGAAAATCCAAGGTTTTCATTAATGCTTTTTGTTTATTTTACAATAGGTGATAAGCAACTTTTTTTTTTCTCAAACTCAATTTGAAATAAATAGCCAAAAGTTAAAGAAAAAATCTCGATCTACAAACAACTATGGGGTAAATGACCCAAGATTTTTCTTTCCACTTTTAAAATAATTGTTATTTTGCAATAAGTGGTAAGCAACTCTTTTTTTTTCCTCAAACTCAATTTAAAATTAATAACCAAAATTTAAAGAAAAAAATATCGATCTGCGAACAACTATGAGGTAAATGACCAAAGATTTTTCTTTCCACTTTTAAAATAATGATCATTTATTGGGTAAGAATATTTGATAGATATTTTAATTGAAATTACTAATGCTGAAAGATTATGTATATACTACTGTTGATAATCAGTTATTCTGTCATCCTTTCTACCCATTCCAATAATTTAACTGAGATACCCATAAATTAACTAAGATGATTCTCACCTTTTCTTGAAAAAATGAACTGTGTAAATGAACAGTTCTTCCTGATATGGATGTCATATCAATGGTTCTATATCTATCAATATTGAAGAGAGTAACTTTTTCCAAGTGAGGAACTCCTATGGGTCTGAAATGCCAAAATTTGAATGAAAGTAGTATCAAAAATAACAAGACTCATACCTATATTTGAAATCAAGAATTGTTGGTTCAAATTTCAGTGGAAGCTTCAGTGATACATCACCTGTTCCAGATGCCTTAAGTGAAGCAATTTCCTGAAAAGGAAAAGACTAAATTCGAATTATAGTAAATTTGTACATTCTCATTCCTAGTCAAAATTATACCTCATGCAATCCTGATAACTCGTCATCCAAGTATCTGGAATGTTTACTGATGAAGCCTGAAATAAAATATGAAATATTTGAATCCATGATAAATGTCATGAAAGGGCACTGAAATAGATTGAGGAAAATCTCACCATGACTGCTGTCATGTAACGTTGGATGAGTTTTAATAACTAATTCCAAAAATGAAAGTGTAAAAATACACCACCATAAAGAATTCCTAAACATTTTGACATTTGTAATTTCATTTATTTACGTATGGTCAGAAATTCACTAAAATGATCTGTTTCTGTTTCATCTGTCATTGATAGACTTTATAAAAATATAACAATTTCTATTGGTTGATGCAGTGTGATTTGAGGAGTATTCGGGTTTGCAGTTCGAACAAATGTAGGACGGTTCAAAACAGTTACACAGCTGATTATTGAAAGTGGATTACAGCAAACTTCTCAAAGCTCAACTGTGCGATTGCTTTTGACTGTTCGAGGATTGTTCCTATAGAGAACCCGAATATGGCGTGTGGCGTGTCTCTATTAATACCATAAAAAATAAGGACAGAGATAAGAGCGTTTTGCCAGTGACACCAACCACTTAGAGAGGAAATTCATTCCAGATACGACGTCTATTGAACATATTAGAACTAAGCCAAATGGTAAAGCAAAACAAAGTCATGTCATTTGTTTTCATATATTGTTGGGGTTTTTTCTCTTGAGTTGAAGTAATTTATTTGATCTATTCATCAGTTTTTCATGTCGATAATAATCGCATCAATAACTTACAAATTTACAACCCCAAACAAAAAAAAACAATAAACATATCCTATGTTCACTATTCAGTTGTTCCGACCAAATATTTATCAGTTGAGCAATGCCATCATCGGCAGAAATTTTTCATAATAGTAGTTAGTCTATATATAAAGATAGTATTTATAAAACAACGTTGTTGTGTTGTTCGAACAAATCTCAAAAACAATTCCTTTTTTACAAATATTCTTCGTTTCAATGTTTTTCCATTTTTTACATATATTAATTTAATTTCATCAAATACTGTTGAAACGAGGTGAGTGAGTATTAAAAATTTGGAATCTGATCACTTATGTTTGACCTTACATTGATTCAAATTTTTATGTTACTTTTCTTTTTTTTGCTTGCTACTGAAGAGGTTTTTGTAAATAATCACATTTGTAATTATTAGTAACTCTGATGAAAATATTGAAACCACAGGGATGAGTCGTAAAAGACTATTTCAATATTCCGAAAGCCGTCTTTGATAAAATATCAGGATAGAATTTGAAATCTCTGGCATAACACTAATATATTGAAAACACCTTTTCCTCATATCTCGAAAGACTATCTTGATATTTTACCAAATACGTCTTTCGGAATATTGGGGTAGTCCTCCTTACCATTCAACTCTATGGTTTCAATATTATCATGAAATATAGTTACTCATTACAAATGTGAATATGTTCAAAAACATTTTCAGTTGCAAAAAATGGGAGTGATCAGATTCAAAATTCTCAATGCTCCCTCACCTTTCCCCAATAATATTTGATGAAATTCAATTAAGATATGTAATAAATGGAAAAAATTGAAACGAAGAATATTTGTAGAAAAAGGAATTGTTTTTTGAGATTTGTTCGAACAACAGGAGTTGAAATCGACAAGATGTAGAGCTGCCTTTAAAAAGTATGTTACTGTATTTGTTCGAGAGTAACTCTGAACGCAACACACGAATGATTGAAAGTACCGATTTCTTATATTTACTGCCCATGCGCAATATATATTTCAGAAGTTTGAAGTTGCCGCTAAAATATAATAAATTGTTAGTAATTGAATATCCCTAAAGTATACTGAAATTATTTGTATGAATGCTGAAACGTAGATTGTATATAGATATTATAAATAATCGCCAAATTAATAATCTCTCATTTATTAATCGCACAAACGCATATAACCTTCGGCTCCCTGCTGCACCAGTGCTTTACTGTTTTTCGTTTCCGTGGAGACTCAAATATAAATACACTTTTATTTTTTACATAACAAATAGGTAAAAAATGGAGTCTTCTGATGATTTATCATCCAAATTATATGGCTGTGCAACATGTGAAAAAATTAAAAATATTCATAAAACGCAACCCTCAATTTCAAGAGCGAAGGGAAGTCTTGAAAGTGCCGAAGATGAATCAAATTCGGAATTCTACGATGACAGGTATGAGACTGATGATTTCGAAGATGAAGAAGTCGATTTGAGTTTATTGGAACATTCACAGGGTCGAAACAGCCGAAGTCATTTCAATCCGGCATCCACCGTATGCCTAAAACAAACGATCAATGTGAATAAGACCTTTGCATCATCAGAACTCAGAGAGATAGATCGTACGAATGAGATTTTAATGAAAAAAATTCTATCCAACAACCGACGTGTCAACCAGTATAAAATACCCCCAAAAACAAATGGATTGAAGAAGACAAGCAGTGCAGCGATCAACAGAAAACGTTATCAAGAAAAGATTGCAAATGATAATCACATTTTATTGCAGAAAATACAGTCTGTTAAGTCATCTCTTACTCATAAATAAACAATTTCAGATTTATTTTTACTTTTATAAACTTATTTTTTGCAAATAAAACTGAATGATTTTAAATCATATTTTTCTCTTCCAATACTTTGAACTACGTAAGTAGAATATATAAATTATTTATTACGCAATTTTTAGTGTGACGAATACAAGTAACAAGGATAAATAAGAACATATGGCAGACTGATTCACATAGAACAAAAGTGGTAACTAGTTCAAAGAAAGTCCCAAATCACAACATCGAAGCCCAAGGTTGTCTTGAAGACTGTCGACCTTGACAGTAGACAGTACTTTAGTAATTCGTACATTGAAATGTCAAAGTAAAAAATAATATGATAATACATTTTGGCTGTAACATATTTGTATATTTTTTAAATAATTTTGTGTTACGTTAACGTTTATAAAGATGAACTTCCGGGCCATATTTTTTTGGTTAGTTTTAAAGGTGCATTGGAAGATAGGAGCTTTCTCTGAAAATCATAATTTTGGATCAGCCGACGATCCCCATTCTAGCAGAGATTTGAGAGGCTCTAGTTTCACTGGTGGACAACAATTTCTTCCTGATGGTAAAATTAACCGATTTTTCAGTAATTGAATTGATAAATGAAGACATTTTTAGTTTCTATCGACACTTGTAATATTGATGATTTTGCATGCCTGGCGATGGCTCAGAAAGATCGGTTGGGGCTAGAAGCTATAAAACAGCTCCACAAACAGCTTGATGATGATAAAGATGGGAACATAGATTTGTCTGAATCTGATGATGTTAGTATATTTTACATCAGTATACATACATGTTTGAACAAATGTTTTTCAGTTTCTGAAAGAAGAGCTGAAATATAATTCGGGAGCAGAGAAAAGACAAAAAAATTTCCATCGCAATGATGACTATCACATTTCTGTTAGAGAATTATGGGAAGCTTGGTTGAAGTCCGAGGTACATAATTGGACGGTAGAACAGACAACTGATTGGTTAACTACTTATGTGGAACTGCCTCAGTATGTCCCTAAGTTCCTAGAAAACAGGGTTACTGGTGCTAATTTGCCAAGGTGAGTTGCTTTGTTAAATTTAACTATCTACATTTTTATCGAATGTTAGGATCATTCCATGTCAAATCAACACACCTCATTTCAAAATTTTACTACACCTACTCAAGATTTTGGTAAAACTTGGTACTACAGATGTACATTTTATATAGACTATGAAATATATAAAGTTTCAATTCTTTATGTCAACCTGTTTTTGAGTTCTAGAAACTTATTATCGTGTTTAGTGTTGTTAATTTTCATCAAGTAACAGGCTAGCTCATTCATAATTTGCAGTATATTGTAGATGAACAGAATGTTTGTATTTTCTCTTCACTTCCTTAGGCTTGCCAGAATGGATAAATGCTATATTTCTTCAAATGAACAATTCTTGAGAATATCTTTTGTATCCTTTCGATAATCTCAGATTAGGTTGTGGTTTGTGGCCTCCACACGATACTGGCTTATTCTAATTTAGAGCGGACGTTTCCTAGCTGAAGTCCTGAGCAGTCCGCCATATGAAACCTAATGTTCTGTAGCAGTCAGATAGATGACAGGTTGCTGATGTGACCATTGAAGAAGAGATTTTTTGTGAAAGTTGCACCAAGGTCTTCAACTTCTGTTACTATCTCATAGGGATATTATTGAGAAAGCAAGTGATCTTTTTCTTGATGAATGTAATGGCCTTTCATTTGGATTCGTTGAGAAATCTATCATTGTTATTGTGATAGTAGCAATGTCATATTTCAGTTTGTTATATCTGTTTCGCAATTACATTTTGCAAAAATTTTTAAATCGTCTGCATATAATAGAAAGTTAGTGTGACTAATATTTCCTGATTTATGCAAACAGAGCTATATACGTTCCATTTCAAAATCAGGAGTACTTCAGGGATCCCATTGTGGTCCCTTGCTGTTTTGCCTTTTCATCAATGACATTCATTCTAAAATTCAAGTTTTCTTCTTTTTGTTGATGATCTGAAGATTTTCAGAGTAGATGAAAATATATATGATGCTAATCTTCTCCAAATAGATCTCAATAATATATCAGAATGCTGTAATGCAAATTGTCTTCATCCTTACAATAGGAAATGTTTCTTGATGGTATTCAGTAAATCACATTCAACAATTCGATTCGATTACCAATTATAAGATGATGTGTTGGATAAAAAACAAAAATGTAAAGATTTGGGAATATTATTAAACAACAAGCTTTGTTTTAATAACCATGTGAATTATGTATCCCAAAGAGTGCTCAAAGTGCTTGGTTTTATTGCAAGGTCATCAAGAAATTTTTACCCTTCTACTATAAAAGTTTTATATTGCTCTCTAGTCAGATCTATCGTTGAATACAACAGCAAAATTTGGAACCCATATTATCTCAAGTATATTCATCAAATAGAAAATGTGCAATACACACAAATTTCTAAAAATCATAGCATATAAACTAGGTCTAGTTGTTGGTGAACATAACTACAATGAAATAATGAGCTAGATGATACTACCCAGTCTAAATGATCACAGGAGTATTATATTGTTGGTTTATCTCTTTAAAATAATCTCTGGTATAATTGACTCTTTGGAAGTTCTCTCTTACTATTAATTGTACCACATCATTCAACCAACTGTGGTTTTATACACCTATCTCAAATATGTTGAGATTGGGAAATTTACATTGTAATAATATTGATTTCTTTTGCGAAAATTATTTTATTAATGTTATTTTATGTTTATATATTTTAAATATTTTGATTTTTTTTTTTTTTATTTTTGTGACTTATTGGGGTATAGATAGCCTGTACCTCCGAAATTATCGTTGTAAGTGCTAAGTAGTTCAGATGGATATTGTTGACATTGTTGACAAAAACTGTTGCTCGTGACACAAAGTATTCAAAATGTTTCTTATTTTTACAACTCAAGTTTTTGTTTTGTCAAAATCAACACAGTTGCTGCTTTGTTATGGTTTTGTCCATTTGGTGGAAATCCGCTATAAGAAGTAACTCAACATGTTCATACATTTTATTATACAGTGTCCTTTCCAAAATTTCAGCTGGAAAAGATGAAACAGTAATGGCTCAATAGTTTTTCATTTGGCTGGTATTACCTGCTTTATATATTGCTAAAATTCTTCCAGTTCTGAATTTTTCGAGAAATATATATTTTTCTGATGAGGTATTATTATTTGTAGAGGCACAACAAGTATATCGGATTATGCTTTGAAAAAATAGGGAGGTAAACTGTCCAATCATAAGTATGCTTTAGGCTTCAGGCAATTAATAGATTCTCTAATATCGTCTTAAGATAATTATATTGTATCAATGTTATAGTTTTCAAATTCTGGATTGCTTAGTGGTAGAATTTATGTATACAAATGAGAAGTAATCGGCAAAAGCATAAGCTATATTCTGTTCATCTAGGAAAGATTTGTTATCTAGTCAATATTTACAATGTGTAATGTACTTATTCAAACATAAAGATAAGTTCTTGGAAGCAGGATCAAATCATACTTACCCTTTGCGGAATGCAAATATATGTCTCCCTATTCTGATGATCCCTCTAATCTCCGCCCTATATCTCTCATACCAACCATCGCAAAAATCATTGAAAAACTAGTTAAAAAATGGCTACTTGGATTCATAAATAAGCATAACATCATCAGTGAAAATCAATTCGACTTCCAGAATAATAAAAATACGCACGATGCTATTTTCTCATTTCTGAATAAAGTTTATTCTGAGATAAATGTCGGTGAAAAGACTGCCGCAGTAATTTGTGACCTGTCAAAGGCTGCGTTGATCACAAAATACTGCTGAGAAATCTCCAACGTTATGGATGAAGAGGAGTAACTCACAAATGGTTCGATTCCTACTTAATGGGGCGGACGCAAATGGTCAAAACAACTCAACTTTAAAAAAAAAAGAGAAATTAATTCTGGAGTTCCACAAGGTTCTGTGTTAGGTCCAATTCTTTTCTTATTATATATTAATGACCTCACCAAGCTTAATATTTCTGGGAAGTTCACCTTATTTGCAGATGACACTACCATACTTTGGAATAATAAAAACACTTGTGAGTTGCACAAAATAACCTCTGCCGTCTTGAAAAAAGTTAAAGATTGGTGTGATTCAAACATTTTATCTTTTAACTTAACTAAAACAAATTTATTATCATTTAGATGCTCAATCAACGAACTTGTTTTTGAAGATAGATCACTGGAATCTAAAAATAACACTAACTTTCTAGAAGTGTTCATTGATGAGAATTTAAAATTTGTGGATCGTATTAAACAACTCACTAGAAAAGTCTCCTCTGGTTGTTATGCGGTTAGAGTGATTTATAAAGAATTGGGGTTCAGCACTGCAAAGCAAGCGTACGATGAACTCATAGATTCTCACTTACGCTATGGAATACCGTTTTAGGGAGCATGCAGTCCAAATTTATTCAAAAGTCTACTAATTTTCTAACGGTAACTGCATTATTTATACTGGAATCTGTGTATTTTATAAATAGTGCCAACTAAAAACATTACCAAAGACTCCATATTTTATAACGTTGGAAAAATATACAATATGCCTATGGACATAAGATCTACCAATATAAATGACTTCCCATTCAGGAACTTAGTCAAACAATTTCTATCTGATAGACTCTAATATACTTTGGATGAATATTTTAACGATAGCATATTTTTTATCTTATTTGGTATGTATTGCATTTTTTTAAAGTATTTACTACCCAAGCTTTGTCTACAAGATTATGTCTTATGATAATAAAGCATATTATTATAAACACTAACAGGAAAGCATCAATCAAGTTTTTCAATAAATTACCACAAAATATTAAATCCTGTGAGAGCCTTAAAAAATTTAAAAAATATGTGAAAGATTTCCTTATAGACTTGGAACCATATTCAATTCAGGAATATCTGGATTACTGTTAACTTCATTTTATATTAAGATGTTTTTATTTCTACAGCATACTGATGGTTTTTCTTTTTAATGTTCGTACAATCTGTCTGACGTTGCATTTTATGTTTTTATGTTGCAGAACAATGTAAAGCATACCCTGTAATATATTAGATTATTATTATTATTATTATAACGATGAAAATAATATAAGTCAATTTAACTTTATATACTTATTATGGTTCATCCAAATTTAAAAACCAATACACCATTGTTTCGATAATTTCACGGGCTGTCAGATGATGTACCACTCGTCCCCTATTTCATATTCACACTTTCAGGATGGTTCACCCCCCTGCTCAAGGGTTGAAATGATGCAGGTAGCTGAATGAAATGTTCCTCTCCAATCTAAAATCGACCTGTCTGAGAGTTTTTACACATCAACGATATTAGTACCCGAAACCTCCTTGTCAAGTTCTCTATTATATATACTGCAGGGAAACACCATATTACTGTAGAAATATATAAAAATATGTTACACCTTTTCTCTTAATTAAGGTACCGTTTGCCTTGTTCACATATCGGGCTTACATCTGTAAGAATATAACCGTATCCCTACATTTCTGGAAATGAAACAACATTTGAATATGAATAAAATGTATGATGTTAAGAATCATTTCAAATTTTTATTCGCCTAATGAACTCACTGAAATAACGAACTGCATGTATCATTAAATATTATATAACAAATCTGTAACCTTGTTTTGAATCTCTTTGTGGCACTAATTTTGCTTTTTTTTTTTCAGATTGGCTGTTAATAATGCGCCATACTTAGCTGCCCTTGGAATCAAAGATCCGATTCACAAACAAAAAATCGCCCTGAAGGCAATGGATGTTGTTCTTTTCGGACCACCTAAAGGTAACGGTATTGACATAATATACAAATTATTATAGTGGAAGTGATTAGAGTGTGCATCATCCGTAACAAGACATTGTGTTATAATTCTAAATTTTAATGTTGTGTCATAACATTAAATATTGAGGTGAAGATGTATTTTTATTTTGAAAGAAATCCAATTTGTTCTCTGAAAAACAATTATAGATGCAATTTGCCAAATAGTGTATGTTTCTGGGATTTATTGAAGACTGAAATTTTTTGTTGAGAATCTATGGTTTATATTTTCGAGGTATGTTCAGTTCAATAGAAATCATAGTGCTGGTGATTTCTAAAATGAAGTTTTGACTCCGATTTTGAAGTGTAAATTGAATAGTGCTAAATTCACTGATCAATAAAAATCATTCAAAAAATGCATTGATTATCAATTTTTCAAAATTCATATATATGACTTTTCATGACCTTGATGAATGTGAATCACAATAAATGACATGAACAGGGTAAATTATGATAAAATCATATGTTCTTTCCCTATTTAGAAACTCGTCAAACTTGCCAAATATCTTGTTTGTCAGTTTTAATGAAAGTAATGAACTTAGGATATTATTTACCATGATGAAAAATTAAACATTATAGAAGGAACAAATTCATTTGCAATATGTTTTCACAATAGTTATTCAAAGTAGTTTTCATTACTAAAGCCAATAAAATTCAAGTTCAGCCTGTTTCAATAATTTTGTACACTATTCATTGTTATTTAATTTCATTACAAGGTTGCAATCTGCTTGTTTAGAATATGGGTGTGAAAAATTCTGATAATGAAAACTCTGACCCGTTACTTGATGAAAATTATTGACCTAATAATAATAATGATAATAATTACATGATAATTAATGATAATAATTACAGAATTTTCACAATAAATTTTATAATTATTATCATGTATAGAAAATCATGAGTTCATATTTTTCAATTATTGCTTCAACTACTGATTTTTGTAATTGCTAACTCTTCTGTATCAGATGTTCCCCATTGGAAAGACTTAACATTGATCTTTTTGACGATTGTTGGCGGTCTTGGTGTATGGTATGCGTATCAGCAGAACAAAAAGTTCAAGAATCATCTGAACCGCATGAATAGCGATATGGACAGTCTTCAAAATGCCGAGAAGGCTTTGGAAAATCTTCAGAAAGAATTGGAGCAAGCTAAGCAGGCTCAAGAAACCGTTATAAGTGAAAAACAAAATTTAGAAAAGAAACTTCAGGATTCCAAAAGTGAGCTTTGCTCTTTACCAAGTTCCTATTCCGATTTGGAAGTCACTCAGCTCAAAGCAGAAATAGAGGTATATAAGTTTTTTTTTATTATTATCATTAGTAGTAGTAGTAACAGTATTTATTTGATCTTGGATAAAGTACATTGTTCAAGTGGTAAATCATGAAATATACTAAAATACAATACAATAATTAAGTACATACAGGACCATAATGGTTTAGTTTAAAATAAAAATATAATTAATATGTGTATATGTATAAGAAAATGGGAAAGATTAGTTGATGAAATGAAATAAAATAATGAACAATCAGTGATTGAGTATAGAAGCAACCCTAAGATACATATATTTTGTCACCTTTTTTTTATTTTCAATGAAAAATTTCAAAGAAATATTTCTGAGGAACTTCAAGGTATTTTCCTCATTATTTTATTTATATTAGACTTACATTTGTAAGTGCCCTGTACAATAATTTATTACTAACATTTTGAGTTTTGAACATGGGAAATTAAATAGTCCTTTCATCCATAATTAATTATGTTTAAAAAGGATTAAAAAAAAGTATCTAAAAAATTATTTTTCGGAGATGACCGCCACTCCTGAAACATTTAGGACATATAATTTTAAGTATTTTTCGTTTTTAATATTTTTAGGGGGGTTCCTGTATTATTTAACCTTGCCATTTCAACTCGATCAAAACATTGAAAAACCTCTACACTCCATAATTAATTCATAAAGGTTTGTCAATAGAATTGAAAAAAGAGAAAAAATTAATCGTGGTTGTGTGATAGTTTTAAGAATTGTTTGTGAGATTCTGAAATACATCCTTTGTGAATGTGTTTTTTCAATTCACATTCCATGTTTCATTAGATGTTGAGAACTGAACTGCAACTCGCAGAAGGGGAACTTAAAGATCGCTGCTGGACACCACCTGTAGCATTACAACAGTGGCTCCAATTAACCCACGAAATTGAGAATAAGTCCTATCTGAAAAAGAAGATGGCTGCTGAAAAGCAACTGCAGCAAGCCAGAGAGGCTGTAAGTATGTCTAGTGCAATTGTATTCATTTAAAACAGATATTATCCCAAATGACAAAAAATAGCCAAAGTTGAATCAGTTTTGTGTGAAATTCTGGAAATAATGAATTTCTTGAATGGTTGTTAGTACGATTTTCGAAAACCAAGTGGTACAGAATTAGATCCAATTACTACTATTACACTGAAATCAGTTCAAAATTTGGAATGTAGACAATTATCAATGGATCTATCAAATCCTTTCGATATTGTCTATCATAAAATTGTATCAAAAAATTATTTGACATTGGGATTAGAGGCTCGACTCATAGACAAGACAAGACAATTTATTTTCCACTGAATGTTAAATCTATTGGAAATACTTTCCCCACACCTGAATAAAAATATTGTATCTCGACGCACGCTTTGCTAACCTAGTTAGCATCATTAGAAAATGGGTAAAACTAGTTTTGGTTATCTACTGATGAGATGCTAGCTTGATTAGAAAAACAGGCATCTAGCGACAGAATTTTTGTTCTGTGTGGAAAATGTGTTTTCAATAGATTTGTTCTACCTATTCATCAAGTTAATGAGAGTTTTTGAAGAACTGTTCTGTCAACTCATCTATCAACACAAATTTGGTTCAAGAATTATTTGAATAATGGAAAGCAGTTTGTATGTATGTGAGATAATACAAGTCCATTGAGAGATGAAACCTTTGGTGTTCCACAAGATACAATTCTGGGAACTGTTTTATTTATCATTTGTATAAATTCAATTTCCGATTTGGGTTTGAGCGGATAAATTAAACTGTTTGTAGGTGACACAATCCTAGTTTATTCTGAAAAAGGTAATGAGGAAATCATTCAAATAATTGATAAAGATTTAAAAATAATATCATCATGATTGAATAGTCACCAATCAACAGTTTATGTAACAGAATCCTAGTTTGAGTTTATATCATAGAAAATAAAAATTGATAAAAGATAACATAGTATTTATTAGATACAAAATATTCATGTATAATTGAAATTTTAGGTTTATATGTTGACAAACAGCTTTCTTTGAAAATTCATATTGAATACTTACACATGAAAATATCTCACCTGATCGGCGTTTCATTTAAAATTCATAATTGAATTTCTCTAGAATATCTCAAATTGATTTATCCCTGTTTGATTTATTTAAAATTGTGATGTTTAGTATCAGAATAGGTAAATAGGAATTCTTCAAATGTATATTTGAATTACCATTCCATTCCAATATCCCATCTCCAATTTTTATCCTAATAATGGACTTCTCAATCTCAATAAACCCTCATTTCTAAAATTTGATGATGTTGAAACCATCAATGAATATCAAACTAGGAAACACAAAAACTTTATTACCAATAATAAAAAAACACATTATGGAAAAAATCAATTTCATATAATAGCATAATACCAATTTCTTTTAAACAATGTTTCTAAAATCCAGTTCAACAAGAAAATTAAAAAATATCTGATAAAATGATCAACATCTTTCATAGAATCATTTAAGGTCCCCTCTTATGAATATTTGTTTTTTTGAATTGGCACCAATGAAATTAAGCCTGAGAAATACATCTTATTCATAGTATTTTTATAGTTTTTTCTTCTTTGGAATCAAAAAATTAATCAAATATGAAAGGCAAATAACTAAATTTGCCGAGAAATATTATTGTATCTGAATAACATTCAGATAGTGATTTATCCAACATGTCAGTAACATTTGTTTGAAGGTAGTTGTTAGGAATCATACGTTAAAAGGTAAGACCTCGTTAGTCCTTAGCTCGCACAAGTTTCTCAACTTCTGAGAGTTGTCGTTCGTATGGGGGCGACAGCTGATTAACGGAAAAACAGATTTTTTTTTAAAGATTTCATTAGTTCGGACTTCCATTGTCTTATAATATGATATAAAATGATTTGAAATACCGAAAAGAATCTGTTAAAAATTAACTGAAAAATAACCATTATATTAAGCAAAAAAAACTGAAATTATAATGAAATGAAATACAAACCAAAAAAATATTTTTATAAAATTTTTTGATTGTTGTTTTTATGTTGTTTGTTTGTATTTTATTTCATTGTAATTTCAGTTTTTTTGCCTAATATAATTGTTATTTTTTCACCTAATATTTTTAATAATTATTTAGAGATTCTTTTCGGTATTTCAAACCAATTTATATCATATTAGACAATGGAAGTCCGAACTAATGAAATATCAGTAACAGTTCTCAATATATACTTCTGTATATATTGAAAAACAAAAATATATGAATTTGAATATATGAATACTACGTGGTAGGAAATCATAATGAATTATCCCTGTTCCCTTTCTTGATTAATTATAGAAAACTCCTGGAAATTGCATAATTACATCCAAGCAGAACAAAAAAGAAAATTGGAAAACATTGCATTGCAATAATTTATAATGAGCTGCAAGCCGATATGAAAAACAAAATATGTTCCAAAACTCAAAGTACTTGTAAAATAATATTTATTAGATGAATAGTATTCTCACATTGGACAATTTATCTTCGCAAATTTTTATATAATTCAATTTGGAAAGATAAAAAGAGAAATTTCGTTTCTGTAGGTTAGTTTTCATTTCAATTTTTCAGTGTGAGAAATTGAGAAAGAAAAGATCTAGCCTTGTTGGTGCTTTTGTCTCGACGCACGGTAAATCAATAGATGAAGTTGATAGAAGCATCGTTGAAGCAAGAACGTCGCTGAATGAGGTCACACAAGAACTTCAAGAAAGAGTTCACAGGTGGAAGCAAATAGAAATGTTGTGTGGATTCAATATCATAAATAATAATGGTTTTAATTATTTGGAGAATGCCCTTTACAGAAACATCAATGGTCGTGGATTTGGGTTAAGAGGTGAGTGGAAAACTTGTATAACTTTGCAGTGCATTGAGTCCTATTTTCTTTGAGCAGCATTTTTTTTCTTCGACATATTTGGACAGACTTAGGTAGTCCATTAGGAAGAAATAATCTAACAAATCGAATATGAAAATAATCGGAAAAAATCACGCAAATTATGATATAATATTTTTTTCTACTACTTGTGTACCTGTGCCCAAACTACTATGAAGTTTACAGGACATAGAAGTTTACCTGATCAATAACCTAGACAGCTCAATAATCTGTTAACAAAGAATCCTAAACTTGTATTTTTCAAAAAGACTATATTTTACAAAGGAATAATTACCTGCTGTATTGAGTTACATTATTATATTTGTTTGCTTTTGTTCCACAAATCAATTCATTTTAGAACAATCCATCAACTTTCATAATAAAACTATCAAATATTCATCATTTGTCAAGTTTGCAGAGCTTTTTATAGATGAAAATTTATCTTGGTGTGAACATATCAAAATTTTTTGTGAAAGAAAATTAAAATAAGAAATTTGGTGTCACTTTAATATTTAAAATTCGTTTACTTCCCTTTTGTTCATTTTAAAATGCAGTAATTGATGTCAGTTTTGGGAGCAGCATTGAAATGCTCTACTCAAACAACTGAAAATACTGCAGAATAAAGTTGATGAATGTCTTTTAAAAATAGACTGTAAAAAACAAGGAACTAACTATTAATTTAGACAAAAAAAATATAATATGACATATGAATGTTATACAAGCTCAAACTTTGCACCTTTGTTCATTTGGCAAAATACAAATTGAAACACTCAAATTTGATTTTCAAAATGATTAGTGACAACATAACTATTCAACAATGTATTTAAAAAATCTGAGGTGTTTCGAATATTAGATCAAATATTGGAAACCCATGCCACTAACATGGAACACTTCCGTTCTTAATGGTGTACTTCGAAGTTTCGTGACATGACACTTGTTCTGTCACCTCATTGGGCATGTCTTGGACAATATTACAGATGGATCACTCATTTCTTTCATAACATTACGACTTTATGCAGAAGTAACAAACCTGCTCTTGACACCATGACACGATTTCAAAATATATTTTTCCTCCAGTTTCTCTGAAAGACCCTTCTGTATATGCACTACGTACCTTTATGAAGAGGTTTTATTCCAGTTATTTTTCTCCCCCTTTTTTTTTTTGGAAATTTTTCACATTTTTCTCAGCGATGGAGAAATAGAGTGATCAAAGCTCAAATGCACAATTCATATTTTATACAAAATAGATTTGTTTTTTTGCTTTATACATACTGTTGTAAATGTTCAAAAAATCAGCATAAGTCATTTCATCAGAAACCCCAATATATGTTATACTAGCATTAAATCTCAAACGCAAAATAATTTTCACATGATGTTTTTCCTTTCAAGGACGCATGAGTAGCACGGACGATTTGGATGATGACACTGGATCTGTCTATAGTGCCTTCCAAGGTAAGCCAGTTGAACATGATGATTCCAACTCTGATTGATCTACTATTTGAAGTCGAAAAGTTTTCTTATAATATAGTAGTCTGATTTGTATGTAATATCAACCCTTTCAGTAGTCTTCAGTTTTACCATGCTTCTCCTTCTTTTTTTTGTTGTTATTTGTGTAATGAAAGTTCATATGGAAGATCTTGATATACGGGGTGGCCCATGTTTCATTATCCTACAAATGCTACTTGGAAAGTATGAAAGATACGACAGATTCAATTGAGAAACATTTATTACTTTTCAATTTTTCTTGCATGTAATGTTGAATTTTTGAGCCGGCTTTTCAGGACCTACATTCTTCATATAGTTTTTTTTTTTCAATTGAGTCACTCATGACTGATTTTATGAAGAAAACTAAATAGAGTTGTCATTAATGAAACAAAAGTACTGTCCAGAAAGAATTATGGCACATCAATATGACAGTCTAATTTCTCTCTTATATGAATAAAAACAAATTTTAATTGTTTATAAAAACTAGAATAACAATATATTTGAATGAGGAATGACCAAATACAACCTTGGGAAGTTAACAATAACTTGTAGTAAGTTTAACATATTTTCAAACAGGTAATCAACTAGTTGGGTTTTTATACTATAAATAATAAAGTGAATATTCATGATTTTTTTGGCCTATTGACGCGTATATGACTAGGAAAATTACATCATTCAAAACACTATGTCTTAAAATAAATTTTGAATTTTATGTTATTGTTCAAATACAGATAACTGTGTCAAGGCTATATTCTAGGATTTTTGGCTGTGGTCTACAGGTTTTTATGTCTTTCTGGAACAGCTGTAGAAATTATGTTGCTTTCATTTTATGCCAAATCTAATTCTAGTTTTCATAAAGATTACCTTTATTTTATTTATTTATATGTATCATGCCAGAAAAGCATCCATACAATTTTCACATTGTAAAACATATGAATTGTTATCGGAATTGTCAATTATCTAAAAATTAATATAATAAAATAATAAACAACATACGAAATGCACTTTGGGTGAGTTTTACAGTGAATTAAATAAAAAGTGAATTAAAAAAAAACATATCAGGTGTGAGAAGAGAAGTAGAAATTACATGTTATATACAGAAATGTATCTGCCAAAATAAACAGATCAAGTGTTATCAGTCAGTTAGAAATTCCTCAACACTGTAGTACGTTCTCCAAAAAAAAGGAGTTTTTTAGTTTCTTGTTTGAAAGTAACGAATTTTTTGCATTATTTAATTGAATTGGGTAGCTTCTTGAAAAGTTTGCATCCACTGTAATAAATACCTTTCTGGTAGAGACTTGTTAAATGCTCTGGTGGAACTAATATCTGTTTATATTAGGAGTTTCGTGAATGTGATTAATTTTCTCAATTTTCTTCTTCATAGATGTGAACTGATTTCATTGTTAAAACTCGGAAGTTTGCAAATGCTACTCGACATGAATCAATTATTGATATTAAATTTGACAAAATAGAAGAACTCCTTTTTGTAAGACAAAAACTCTAGAAGCAAGGAGTGAAGTCCCCCAATGCATAATACCATATTTTAAGTTGGAATGAAAGCATCCGAAGTATAGGTACCTCAGTCAGTCCTTACTACATTCCAAGTATTTATCTTGCAGAATTCTGATGATGAATCTCGAAGATAAAAACATTCAGCATTAGAAAAAAATTATTTGGTGAAGAAAATGAATTAATTTAAAAGTTATTGTTGATGTAGAAATTATTGAACGAAGAAGGTGAAATTCAATACATATCAATTTTTGTGAAATAGTAACTTCTTTTACATTTAACTCTATATCTTTCATCATTTCCAAGAAAGCATTAGTGGAACTGATGAATATGACCACTCTGTATGTGAATTGAAATGCAAATCTTCTGAGAAACGAATGGATTTTGTGGAGTTCAATATTTTTTTATGGCCATGCATGTATGTGTTTACTTCAGTACGCCCTTTTAAGCAATATTTTTAAACATTCAAATGAATGGTGGTATACAGTTGGGTATTGATTTTCTCATTGGGTGATAATGAAGGAAACAGTTTCAAATATTGCCTTCAGTATTCTTACATGGCAAGATATAATAGGGCAAATGTCAGACAGTTGACAATAATTACTCATCAGGTATTTATAGTTGTTACATCTGAAATAATCTAATCACGCCGACAAATTTGAATTTGTTGATAGATTCTAAGATGCCTATATACTGATTTAGTGACTCATATGTGTAAAATTTAGATGTATATCACACAGTATCGTGTTGGCAATTCTTCAACATTTTTCATTTCACAGAATAATAGTCAATTAACTTTGAACAGTTCAAAGTATGATGAACACAAAAATTATAGCCACTCAGTATCAGTTAATTTTGTTTCTAGCCTCTTTAATATAAAAGTCAAATCAAACACAAATTTTGAGGCATATTACAATGATCCCATTTACTCCGTTCGCAGAAAAATTATCAACGACATAGATCATTTGATAATTGATTCATTTTACTTCAAAACAACTATGTCTGGTTTACCAGATTTTCTGAAACGAAAGCGCAATAGACTTGAGGCGTTTTCTGGCGCTCATGTATTCAAAACTTAGTCGTTTGTGATTCAAATACATTCATTCTGGCGTTGAAACGATGACGTCACATCAACTATGATTTGAAATGTATTCATGATGATTCAAAACTAGCGTGAGGTTGGTTTTGAAACGAAATTGGACGTTACTTTACGTCAGTTGTCAGAATAGCTACTTGTTGGTCCATATTTTGAATAGAAAAAATAATTCTGTTACACTAGTTTTAAAAATGCAGCTATGTTTGTAATATATATGTAAAAATACGATTCTAATTGAGGTTAGAGAGATTTGAAAAGTTTGTTTTTATTATTGAATTTGACATCTGACAAATTGAATCATTACATTCTGGAGAATCTTGTTATTAATGACGTCAATACGAATCGTTTTTGAATACACGTTCGAATACGATTAAACGTCAACAGTGTATAAGAATCTTTTTTCTATGGATATGACACAATAGCCATTTTGAAAGAAAAACAGTCAATATGGTTGAGTGCAGTTATTATTGAATGAATGCTGTGGAAATAGTTCATTCTCAAATTAAAATTCTCAAATGTATTTGAATCAGTCACGTTTTGTACAGCATGCTTAACAACTAACTCCAAGACCTTTGAGATGGACAAAAACCATATTTCTTACAAAAAGGCATCATGGCAGTTCTTTTTTTTATTGTCTTGTTATTGCATCTTTTTTTGTTATTTAAAAATGTGGAACTATATTGATATCTAAAACATTTACAGGATAGTTTTTTCAATATAATTTTATTTATTTTTCACCTGTTGTGGAAGTAAGGTGATTATTTGTGCAGTGTGTATCCCTATAACGAATCTCATGCTACATAATAATTTTCTTCTCTCTATTCTGAATCTCGTGCTTGTGTTTGTTTTTATTAGAAAGTGGTTGAAGGTTTTTTAGGTTTCAAATTTAATGCAAAGAAATATTTGTTCAACAAATCCTATTCTATTTATCTGTAGAGTAATTTTTCTATTGGATGATACTTATTACTTTGTAAAAGTACTTAATGTAGATAGTTTCTGCTTGAAATATACAAGATAACTTATAGTTTTTAGTTTATATATTCGAACATTGTTATAGTTAGTGAATGTATAAATATATGGGTCGAATAGATATTGTAATTCATTTTGAACCTAAGTTTCCCTATGTATTTTTATCTTCCATGAAACATTCCACAGGTAAGATGTTACCACGAAATTGGGATGCTTCAAAGTAGGACATATTTTTTAGGGTTGGAGCTTACAGAGTAGACTATTGAAAATGTACCGCAAGGCAGAACTACCAGGGAAAAAACCTTTCTGAAAAATCCAAAATGTTTGTAAAAGTTACACGTTCTGGCCTAAAAACCGTTACAAAATCTACATTCCTACAAGCGGGGATGTTGTCCCTCATTTTTTTTAATGGGATGGGGTGGGGTGATACCTCATTGAAGAGAACTTTTGGTTTCCTAACCATTGCTGCTTCGTTTTTGAAAATTGATCCACTCATCTTTGGATCCAGCTTTAAAATGACAATACATTTTCAGAAAAAATCTACTTCAAATAAAAAACCTATCTAAATTTTAAACATGAACTTTTTTTAAATAATTTTTATTTTGAACATTTAATTAGTCGCCACAATTGTTGTTACTGGGCCATTAAAAATCGAATGTAAATTTCCTTATAGATAATTTTTTCTTCCAGGAAATTTAACAGGTAATATGTACAGGAATTTACTGCATCTAAAATGCTGTAAACTTAATATCAGAGAATGATATTGCATTCATTGCCCCTCGGTCACCCGATTAAGTAGTCTTTTAGATTTTTTCTGGTGACACATTCCACCTAACTCATACAAGACCTGCGATGCCGAATTTTTAATGTATATTACAAAATGACATCTGTAAGTGCTTCAGAATGTACAACAGCATTTGGAGGTTGGCGGACAACATTCTCAGCATTTACTTGATCAATATGATGTTTTTTGAGTATGCCGATTTTCGGAAGCAAAGTAACAAAAGATGGGGAATCGAAAACCTATTTTCGTTGAGTTATCACTTGACTCCCAGTTCCATTTTTTAAATTTTGTGGGATGATACCCCCGTTTATAGAGGGTTGAGGGTTTCGCAATGGCTTTTGTGTCAAAACTTGTCCCCCTTTCTAACATACTTGACTTGTTTTTTATTTATTTTTTTTCAACAGCCTACCCTGTATAGTGGGGAAGCATTGGGTTTATAGGGAATATACAAAGTACTTACACTTATTATCAAACCATCAACAAATTAAGTAGTATTTTATTCTTCAGAAGCAAAAAATAATGAAAGATGTCATATAATTTTAATAAAAAAGAATTGAACTACTTACACGGAAACCAAATCATATTTTGACTGAAGTGATAACTAAATGACAATTGAGAATATTTCAAATTGTACTTTGCCATATTTTTTTCCTTTATACATATACATAAACTTTTTCTCGCACACTTCACACTTTCATTTAAACACAACAACATGCTTTACCTAATAAGCGATTGTGGTTCTAACATGAAATAGTATATGAAACTAATGAGAAACTATCTCCCAGTTTAAGAGATTAAAAAAAAAATTTAAGTTTTTACCACCAGTTTGCATGTACTGCGTGTTATTACGAGTACTTACCCGCATATTATGAAATTTGAGTGTGTTAATTTGATTTTTGCTTCATTCCAGCATGTGGCATTTGACTTTGCATGAATTACTTACAAAAATATTACCACATATGATTTTAGAAAATGAATTGTTCAAACCATATATCTCCTGAATATTTATCTTCTTTACTTTTCTGTTTAAAACGAATCCTAAGTAATGTAAATTATCCGTTTTGAGATAGTATAAATATTACTGAGGTATACTGAAAAATATTTTTGTTATATCATGAGAATTTGTATCGCACCTTGTGAATTCACTGGTATTCCTGTTAAAATTCAAGCTCCACTGTAACATCCCGTAAATAAATAAATAAGTAAGTATTAAACTTGTGCACAGTAATTTCTACTCTCAGCTGATTACTTGTAACTCACTTTACCAATACAGAGTAGAAAAGTGAAGCAAATATATCAGAATTTGGTTTTTAATCCTTTGTAGTGTAACTTCAATAATAATAATTTATGATGCACTGTTCGGAACCTTTTGTGTAGTAATGAATATTACTGGAGTTTTTTTCAACACCAAATCGTTATTTTCAACACCTCGACACGTGTTTCGATCACCAAGTGATCATCTTCAAAGAGGAAGATTAAAACTAGAAACTAGTGCGAGCTAATCCTATTTATGCTATAAAGGTAACCCATACAGGGAAACCATACAGGTATACCAACCTAAATTGATTTTACAATTTTGCCTTATCTATTATTTTACAATATATGTTTATATAAAACAATATTCAGCTATATAAAAATTAATTTCACAATATTGCCTATCCAAATTTATTTTTGCAATGTGTCCTTATGTAGTAATCAGTAAACCCAACAACAATATTTTATTTTATTTTAACAAGTTATATAGTATGCTCTTTGGTATAGGTCCGTCATCGTTATTCATAATATTATTGTGTTTACTTATTTCTACACTCTCATAGGCATCTAGTTGGCTGTTGTTGTTAACTTGTCTAACTAATCTTAATGAACTGAAGTCTATGGAATGGTTTTGTTGCAAAATATGATGGGCGACTGCTGATTTTTCAGGTCTTCCATATTTTAAGTGTGCTATGTGTTCCTTATATCTTACTTTAATAGATCTTTTTGTCTGTCCATTATATTTTTCATTTATCAATTATAAATTTTATTCAATAGAATAAGTGTCAATAAATAAATAAAATATCAATCATAAAATGTTATTTGAATGTCCCCAATGTGTTACATACTATAACACTATTATTACTATTCATATTCAATATAATAAACCGATTGAATCAATTATGTTAGCTCACACTGAGCTGTAATCATACTATTGCTAATAAAATTTACAGGGTGTCATTAAAATAAATTGAATGAAAGGTGCAAAATTATTGGGCCTAATAACAATTTCGAAATATCCTGCTTGAGAATGATATTGTATAGCAAAACCTGTGTTATGGTTTTGTAAACCTTTTAAAGTGAAAATGTTACAGTTTCCTTCATGTTACAGTTTACTATCACAGTAAATTTCAACAATATATGTTTTCCTTTCGATGTGTAATTCGTTACAATTTTTTATAATTGAAGTTATGCCAAAAAGTTGTACTTTCAACCAAAATTTATAAAACCTCTGTAACGTGTTCCTTTCAAAAACTACCAATGGGAATCTTTATCTACAGAGAATGATTTATTTTATGGCAAACTCAAAATATTTTATTATGAATCAAGTTTTCATCCAAAAACAAAACAAGCAACAAGTTTTCATGTCATTGTTCACATCTTTGTAAACGTTGCTTTTTTTTGGGCTTTGGAAGAAGTCAAATTTTGCCTAAGCATATAAATGATTGTTTTTTGTAACACCACTATCTGTTATATGGCTTTGAAATAGATAAATATTGTTAATTTGGAACTAACGAAGCTACTTATTGAATGTACAAAGAATATATGTGAAACATTATTTTCATTGTATGTGAATATAAACTGACATCTTGCATGCCAGTATACTAACATGGTGTAAGTTGGCGCTATATATGTGCAGGATATGCTGACACTGGGATGATGCATAGCAAAGATGGAGACTCTTCAAGTAGTGAAACTAGTAAGCAGGATGAAGAAGTGAGATCCAGTGACGTGAAAGTGAGCAGTAGGAATAACGTTCACTTTTTAGTTGGTGATGAAGGGTAAGGAGAATTTGCTTTTTATTTGGTTTTCATATTTTTATTAACACCTGGAAATTTAAGATTTTATTTTTTTCCTATTTGCAATTTATTTGCTATCATTTCATATTTCAGTTGACATTGAATAAAAAAATATTGTTTTTCAAACTCATATTTTCTAAAATTCCTCCCACTAAAAAAATGAAATGTCTAACTACTAAAATTTAATCAGTTTCAAGTAAACAATGGTAAATCAAATTTTACTAATTTAATTTCAAATAGATAGTTGAGTTTGATAACCTGTTGAATTAAACACTTTTGAGTTTTATGATTATTTTCCCTGCCAATATATAAATAATGGTATGAAATTTAAAAAATATGATTTACATAGAAATATCCACATCAACTTTCAAATATCGAAATATTTTTGTAATATATAGTGAGCTTTAACCAATAACAAATATTCCAGTGATTTCTTGAATTGGAAAGTACTACAGGTCTTAATTTGTTCAGAAAGCCTATTGTATATTTTTATCTCAGCATAAGTTGGCGATAGTAGCATTTGTTGTGCCATGGTAGCTGATTTTCGTTAACTTGTTTTGTGATATGTAAGCAAACGATTAAATTATTTTGACTCTTGAAAATTTTGCTACAAGAAGCATGTTGCTTCATGTTGAATATCAATATAACAGTTCTTTTTTGTGTAATAGATATCTTATTTATTTGGGTAGCATTTCTCCATAACATGATGTGAAAAGATAATGCAGAATTAACTAATGTATAATAAACTTGCATCAGAAAAGTCTCGTGAAGTTCATATGCAAAATTACAAAGTAGAATTTGGAGAGCTTTGTGTCAGTTTATTGAAATGAATAATCGAAAAGTAATAATTTGAGTAGATCATCATTCATACAATAAATATGATACTTATGGGCAGTTGAAAATAAGTATTGCAACAAATGTGTGAAGAATTTCCCATTTCTCCATAGTATGGGGATGTTGGCTATTTCTGTTAGAAAGTGTTTCGATCCATTCAAGCTTACTTAATATCGCCAAAATTGAAAGTGGAATTCTATATCGAACATTTTTATTTATTCCATTTTGTAGAATTTGTCATGAATAATAATATCTGGTTTAATTTTCTTTTGGCATATTTTTTATGTAAACTGAGGAAGAAAAAGTGATTTCTGGGTTAATCAGTACTTTAGTATTTTGTTTTGTGCTTGAAAGAAATATTTGTGTACAAAAAGTTTCTTCGATATTTGGTGACTTTTTTCTCTTCTCTGGAAATTTATTACCATTTATGTTGTTCAAAACTTTCATTTTTCACTTTGTTTTTTAATAAAATAATTCATATTTTCTCTTTGGTGGGGAACAGTAAAATTCCAAAGAAATCGCATGCCTGTCATTGTCCTTTTTGTTGTCTATTCTTGAGTAGTGGTTTTCAGATTGGGAAAAAATTCTTTGGGGTATCTTATATATTATTAG